TGCAAGCTTTGTAATACGAAGTAGTACTGGGAAGTACTTTGTGCAAGCTTTGTAGTACGAAGTAGTACTGGGAAGTACTTTGTGCAAGCTTTGCAATACGAAGTAGTACTGGGAAGTACTTTGTGCAAGCTTTGACGAAAGCTAGCTTCTGCTAGCTGAAGCCCCTCTTGCTTTAGTAAGGTATTCGGGGGGATGGAATTTCCAATCGCGAGAAACTTCTCAGTTAACTACCCGCCTCCCCCTCCCCCTCCTTTCAACTCCACACTCTACGTTTACACGTGGCACTCAAACTTTATAATCTGTACGCTTTCGCACTTTACACATTACACTTCACGTTAGGCCCCCACAACTTTGCCCTTTTTACACCTGACACTGTATGGAGCCTTGGTCTAGCTCCATTGTCATGTTGCGTGCGCACATCTAGTGTCGTCCTGAACTTTCGCCGCTTGCTGCGTTACTTCTTTCCACGCTTCCAAAGGTCCACTCCGGTGCCGACGGTGGACCTTTGAATTTTTCCCTACACTGCGCACTCTGCACTCCGCAATTACACTTCACACTTTATTTTTTTTCACACTTTCCACCCCACACTCCACACTCGACACTTTACACTCCACACTCTACACTTTACACTTCACACTCTACACTTGGCACTCCACACTCTACTTTTACACGTGCCACTCACACAATAAGGTTTAAGCTTTCACACTTTCCACTATACACTCGACTTTCGACCCTCACAACTTTGCCCTTTTCACATTGGAACCTTGGCCTTGCTCTCCATTTTCATGTTGCGCGCGCACATCATCCTGTCGTCGTAAACTGTCGCCTCGCACTGCATGACGTCTTCCTGCGCTTCCAAAGGTCCACTCCGGTGCCGAAGGTGGACCTTTGAATTTTCCTTCCTCAGTTGTCATGATCTTGTCTATGCTGAATGTCTTCATTTGCTTCGGGCAACAGTAGACAACGATCATATGTTCTCATTTTTTTTGCTTACACTTGCGCTACCTTCTGTGTTTCATGCCCATCACCCTGCCAAGCTAGCTTTCGTCCCTTACCGCTTGCCCTCAAGTACTGGGAAGTACTTTGTGCAAGCTTTGTAGTAGGAAGTAGTACTGGGAAATAATGGGAAATACTTTGGTTTTTGGTCAGGAAGGACTATGTGCAAGTCCTGTAGTCCACAGAATGAATTTTGTTCGCAAGGTACGAAAATGTCAAAAGGAAGAGATGTGAGAATGTAAAACGTCCTCAAGACAAAGGAGATGTCAAGACAGAAGGTGTCAAAGGAGACAACTTTAACAGAAAGAGGTCTCAAAATAAACATGTGAAACAACAGGAAACAAGAAAAATGGTCCCAAGCGAAAACCGTGTCAAGAGAATGAGATGTGGAGAGAAGAGAATGTCAAGAGAAGAAGGTCCCAAGAAAAGAGATGCCCAAAGCTAAGGATGCCAAGAGAAAGAAACGTCAACGGAAAGCGGCTGAAACGATATCAGTTTCAAGAGACAGCAGCTACATCAGATAAAACTTGTCAGGAGAGAAAAGTGTGTCAAGTCTCTGGCTTCAGAGCTGTCGATCAGAAGGGCTGTCAAGATTCAGAAATGTCAGGAGCAAGCCAGATCAAGAGAAAGTGGCAGCATCAGGCAAAGATGTCGAGAGAAAGAAATGTCAAGGACAAAGACTTCCAAGAGATCACGCAGTCGACGGCCGTGCCAGCAAGGTGGTCAGGCGTGGTTCCTATAGGCTCTTCCTTGTCTTTATGGGCTCTTCTTCTCGAAACTTCCGTCACCCGGCTTGCCGGGGCCCTACTTGTACATTTCATATTCCAGTAAATCATTTTTGAGATCCTTTGAAAGTATCAAAACATGTTCAATTCCTATTATTATATCACCTTTCTTATTGGTTAAGTCCATATTTTCTCCATCACAGGACGGTGAGTTCCTACACGGCTAATCTGGCCACCGCGTTGATCGTGCAGCAGAGTGCCAGCACCACAGTGGCCTCTCTGGAGGCGATTCTGGCGAATAACTGGAAGATCTGCACCCAGGACAACTCGTCGCTTGCTAAATCGATTTCTCAGTCCAGTCATGGAGGTTTCCGTTGAGTCATGGGGGCACCCCCACATCATCCAAGTCAATAGACATCAGTCTGGTAGACAATTTTAGGATGAAAACCCATGGTGATTTGGGATCCCCCAGTTTTACATAGTTTTACGAAACCCCCATATCTGAACACACCAAGCATCACGCCAGGCAGGTGGATACAAACTGGTGTCCCATGGTTCGCTTTATGCGTATCTTAGCTTTGCCGGCAAATATACCCATAGTTACGTAGTTCTTTTGTGGTTTTAGTTTATAGTTATATAGGTGAACAAACGTTGTTGGAATATATTGGGATAAAAATTAACAGAGTGATCTTATTAATTTGTTGATTAAACATGATTAAACAATCCCATGATATTTTAGGATATCTTCCTCACACGGTGGTCATGTTGTACTGTTTTGCATATCATTGAATCCAATGACTTGTATCCAATTATATCCAATGATTATCCCATTATATATATATCCCTGTGCATGGTTGGTTTTGCATTTTCCCAGAAAGTTGTGCCCCAGTTTGTTAGCTAAGTTGCGTTATAACTGTAACATGCTACAACCTGGGTTTGCGGTAGATAATCAGATACAACGGATCCCATACCCATTTTTGGCTATTTATAGCTCATTATATCCCATTGTATTCCTAGTATGATCTAGTATGTACCGTTATTTCCTAGTCTATTCCCACTATATCCCAATGAAATGGTCGATTTTCTATCCCCCAGGTACCTCGTGAGCAACTTCAACTTCCCCGCGAGTCAGACGGTGCTGATCGATGGCCGCCGGGAAGTGCTGGAGGCCATTGGACAGCAGTGCGAGGCCGGCGTCATGGCACTGGAGGACTTCGAAGCTGGGCAGACGGACAGTACCTGGGAAAAGAGTGGTTTTCACCAAGAAGTAAGATAATTATGTAGGGGTTTCCATAAATAGGGGGTACCCAATAGCTGGTTTATAACGGAGAATCCTATAAAAATTGATGATTTAGGGGTACCACCATTCTAGGAACCCACCCATATAATGGGGGATTTAATGGAGATATACTGGGGATATTGTGGTACAACTGTGATTTGTTCATAGTTGATCATCAATAGTTATCAAAATAACCATCCATAGTTAACCATAATCAGTTCTTAATGGCTCATCATCATGTCATCAATAGAAAATTTTGTTGAACACAACCACCAATATTAACTACCAACGTTTTTGGTGATGCAATGGATATTCTTCGGGATTTTATGGGGATATAACTTAGACTTTTAGTTTCTTTGGGGATAACGGTAATTTGTTTGCATAGCCATTAGCAGTTAGACTTTAGCAGGAAAGCTGGGAACCAACCAGTTTTTTTCCCGGCGCAGCCAAGTGAGACCAAACATGGGGGTATAATGTGAATGGTTGCCTATTATATCCCATTTGCCAATGAAATTTCGATCAAAGAATCGGTACATTATACCGTAACCTTTTCTCAGACAGAAGCTAATATGGATTTAGTCAGGAAAACGTTATATAGGGTTCTTCCAGCTGCTGTGGATTTTGGCATTTTTTTACAGCAACCAAACCGGGTTTTCAATCAGTGCGAGTTGGGATGAAAACAATGGTCCAAAAGTTGGTAGTCTTGTCAAACATGTGGGAGCCGTCCGTAAAAGCAGGTCACAAATTTATGAATTGATGCGTTTACTTTGCTTTGCGCGATTGCTAAAACCTGCATCGCGATAGGCTGAGCGATTGGTTGGCGATTGGTTATACGGCTACCACCCTATTACTACTACTACTAGTACTACTACTACTAGTACTAGTACTAGTACTAGTACTAGTACTAGTACTACTACGACTACTACTACTACTACTACTACTACTCGTACTACTTTTACTACTAGTACTGCTAGTACTACTACTACTACTACTACGACTACTACTACTACTACTACTACTAGTACGAGTACGACTACTACTACTACTACTTACTACTTCTACTACTACTACTACTACTACTAGTACGAGTACGAGTACTACTACTACTACTACTACTACTACTACTACTACTTTCGAGACCAGAACCATGCCAATAATTGACATGGCCGCGCGGATTCCGCGCGCGCGGAATCCGCGCAGATGTTTTCAGGTCAGAAGGACATTCAAGCTAGCTCCAATTGAAAACAGGTCAGAAACAGGTCAGAAACAGGTCAGAAACACCAAAAAGGCAGCACTTGCCTAGCATCCCATCCATCCATCCATCCATCCATCCATCCACCTCAGCTCTTATCATTGCTACTAATACTACTACTACTACTCCTGCTACTACTACTACTGCTACTACTACTGCTACTACTGCTACTACTACTACTCCTACTACTACTCCTACTCCTACTCCTACTCCTACTTCTACTCCTACTCCTACTCCTACTACTGGTATTACTGTGAGTTTTCCGGACCGTTTCCGGACCGCGCAATTTTCTTTTCTTCTCAAATATGAAAACGAATGCGTTCATGGGCGGATCCTTCTACTAGTGTTGCTACTACTCTCAGTATTACCACTAGCGCCGCTACCACTGCAACGCCGCTACCACTACTACACCGAGGAATTTTTGCCTTTGCTTTTCTCCACTTGACAGAAGTTCCACGGAAGGGTCAGAAATAGTCAGAAACCAGTCAGAAACCGGCCAAACGCAACTCTCTCTCTCTCCCTTGCCTATTCCCTCACCCTCCTACCAGAACTCCTACGCCTACTCCTATTCCAATTTCCACTACCACTACTGCTAGTGCTACTGCTACTGCTAGTGCACTGTGAGTTTTCCGGACCGTTTCCGGACCGCACAAGCTTATTTTGCTCCCAAATTTGAAATCGAATGCGTTCACGCATGGATCCTTACTCTCATTACTAGATTTGCTACTACCCCCAGCACTACCACCACACCCGCTGCTACTGCACCACCCTGCACCACCACTACCACTAGTACACCTAGGAATTTCTGCTCTTGCTTTTAAATCCAATTGCACTCGTGTGAAGGGTCAGAAACGAGTCAGAAACCAGTCAGAAACCAGTCAGAAACCCGTCAGAAACCGGCCAAACGCAATCTCTCTCTCTCTCTCTCTCCCTTGCCTATTCCCTCACCCTCCCATCAGAACTCCTACGCCTACTCCTATTGCAATTTCCACTACCACTACTGCTAGTGCTACTGCTACTGCTAGTCCTGCTGGTACTACTGTGAGTTTTCCGGACCGTTTCCGGACCGCGCAAGCTTATTTTGCTTCCAAATTTGAAATCGAATGCGTTCACGCATGGATCCTTACTCCCACTACTAGATTTGCTACTACTCTTAGTACTACCACCACACCCGCTGCTACTGCACCACCACTACCACTAGTACACCTAGGAATTTCTGCTCTTGCTTTTAAATCCAATTGACACGAGTTCCGCTGAAGGGTCAGAAACGAGTCAGAAACCAGTCAGAAACCAGTCAGAAACCAGTCAGAAACCCGTCAGAAACCGGTCAAACGCAACCATCTGTTTCCCCCTCCCTCCCTCTCTCTCTCTCTTTCTCTCTTTCCCTCCCTCTCCCTTTCTTCCCTTGCCCTGCTACTAGAACTCCTTCTCCTATTCCTACTCCTACTCCTACTCCTACTACTACTACTAGTACTACTACTACTACTAGTACTAGTACTACTACTACTACTACTACGACTAGTACTACTAGTACTACTAGTACTACTAGTACTACTAGTACTACTGCTGCTGGTACTACTGTGAGTTTTCCGGACCGTTTCCGGACCGCGCGAGCTTATTTTGTTCCCAAATTTGAAATCGAATGCGTTCACGCATGGATCCTCATTATATAATACATAACTTATATTTTATGTATATGATCTGATCAACGAAGAACAAACCCTTCCGCGATTGCTCACTGTGGTACCGCGGTTGCTACGCGATTGGCTGAGCGATTGAGGGCTGTCCGGGAAAAGGTATTTTGGACAACCCCCATGTAGTGAAACAAGACTAAAACAACTAAACAAAATGGATCAAAACGGGGGATACGACCCCCAAGATGGAAACCACATGTCGTCATCATCATCATCGTCGTCGTCGTCGTCGTCCTCGTCATCATCATCATCGTCATCGTCATCGTCATCGTCATCATCGTCGTCGTCGTCGTCGATCATCATCATCATCATCATCATCATCTTCATCTTCGTCATCGTCGCCATCATCATCATCATCATCATCATCACCATCATCATCATCATCGTCATCGTCATCGTCGTCATCATCATCATCATCGTCATCATCATCATCATCATCATCGTCATCGTCATCGTCATCATCATCGTCATCATCATCATCATTTTTTTGCCGGAACCTGCCTGAACCGCGGCCGTGGCCGTTACCCGCGAATCCGCACTAGTCGGATTTTCCCGGTTAAGTGGCCAATGTTTCAGGCAGTTTTTGCCACTTGATGCGCGTGGGTGACCCCTTGTTCTACGAGCAGCAGATGTGTCCAGTCAGCGACCGCTTCAAGCGCTCCGCCACCTTCCACCTGAGGGACGCCAAGGCGCAGGGCACCTGGATCAACGCCTTGAAGGTGCGAATGGACTTGGGCTGGGGCAAGTGGTGGATTTTCAGATGACATGTGGAGATTTCCTAAGTCATAGCACCCCCAAATCATCCTGTCATTAGACCTGTTTTGTATTGAAACTCATGGTGACTTGGGGGATCCACCATTTTCAGAAACCCAATGTTCCAAAATGTTTGTCCATTTTGTCGTTTGTTTTTGTGAATCCAAAGGGAACTAACCCCTTCAAAAAAAGGCACACATGAGTGTTTTCAGAAATTGCTATCCTCAAACTCTATCGATGGGAGCGCATACAATTGAACCTCAGAGACAAAACTGGAAAACCATAAATGAGCGTTCGATCGCCAGGTTTTTTTGAATACTTGGCAATGGAAACTTTGAAGCGTTGGATTCATTCTACCCACTTATATCCATTGTCATCGTTTTCCATCATGTTAGTTCATGTTTTTAACACCCCATCAGGGGGCCTCCTAAAAAAACACGATGGATCCACAGGGAGAACCAATACAATCCATAAGCATTTGTTTTCAAACATGAAATGCGCGATAAATGGATGTAAATGCATTATATACAATATGTAACTTATGTAGGTTTAAACATATCATGTAACTGAATGTGCATGAGGCATGATGAAGATATTAACATTAAAAAACCTAATGTTACCTGGGGTCCCCTGGACCCTGACTGGAGATTGAGGTGGGCCCATAACTTGAATCCTTTGGTGCTGGGGTGCCGGCCAAGTTTGGCCAGAATTTGGCAGGTGCACAGCCCCGTGGATGCTTGTTTGGCTGCGACCGAGGAGGCGCAGGCAGAAAAGGAGCAGACTGGGCTCACGCTGGAGGACTTTGGTGGGCCGCTGCTGGTGGCTGTGAGCGTCTGCCTGCTGGGCCACTGGGAATGGTGAGATGGCCTGGTGAAAATGGGAAAAGACCATAGAAAACCTAAAAGGTTGCAGAATTCTTTACATGAGGTGCTGTGGTTGAACATGTAGAAAAAACATGGCGTGATTTGATGGTGAAGTTGAAAGGTGTTGTTGTTTTTGGTAGCCATTTGGGGTTGGATAGTAACCCGCATGTATTTTTTTAGTATCGGCATGACACGGCATATAACTTTCGCATCATGAATGCCTTTGTGACCCTTTTGTTTTGGTCCCTCCTCATCTGACTTTGGGGAAACTGATTGAGCCAAGGTGACTAGATCGAGGATGATCCAAGGTGTTTTGTGGAGTCATGAAAGGGTGCGGGAGGAAATTCAGAACCACAACAACAGGTAGCACGCAAATGAACTTGTGGACGAAACGGTTAGTTCTGCCTGTTTTGGGAGGTCTTTACATAAATTTTAACTTGCATAAAGATGGGTAAAGATTATATCGGTGAATTGCAGTGCGTCGAAGACTTCGCATGGTTTCCCATGGTTTCCTCCAGCAATAGTTCCACCTTGACTGTTGACTTCCCATGGCCCCTCTGAGATCTCTGAGGACTTGTGGCCGATGCACTCAAATGGTTGGCCCTCCGACGCGCAGCTGCTCAAGCAGCGCCGGTGGTGCCCAGCAAATCGGAAGCGCAAGAGGTGCCTGGCGAGAAATCTGCTGACGGTGGGTTCATTGAAGTCGATGAAATTGAGCAGATTGAAAAGATCTTGTCAAGGCTAAAGCGCCGTCGATCTGTGGGGTATGAAGGGTCTGAAATCTCGCTGGAGGTACACCGTTTGTAAACGACCTTGGAGACGGTGGTGAAATCTTCCGAGTTTGTGTGTGTGTTTTTTTGGGGGTTGGTGGGGGGAGAAGTATAAGTAGCCAAAAATTAATGCCGAGGGAAGGAACTCTAATGACTCTAATGGAGCAATGAAGGGAGGTGAAGGTTTCTGATCACTGCTTCCGTATCTTCCGTTGGCCGCTGGTGGATGGCAACCATCACTGACGCCAATGGCCACGTTGTGTCACAACCCGCCAACCACGGGTGATCGTTGCCGGGATCAGGTGGGAACGAAACATTGCGGCAACTTGGCCTGTTTCTTCAATGCGGGAGTGTTATGATTAGGTGGCAGGGATATTCATTGGACACCTTTTCATCCATGTTCAATGGGAACATCCTCGAAGTGTTAGCTGTTCCACATCTTCCACTTTCATGATGGTGTAATTACTTACTAGGGTAATGATCGCCAATGTCATGCAACTTCTTGAAAGATTTGAGTTAAATATGGCGGGGAAGCTTGATGAAGTGCACTGCATGCCGCAGCTTTCAGTTTCCCCAAAGGGGATGAGAGAGACAGTGCAGAGCGAGGACCAATAGACACCAGCAGACATGGCAAGCTGAAGATGGGTTTCCTTTCATTCCAGCACAGCCCCTCCGAGCTTCAGCACTCCTTGTCGTTGGGAGATGGGTGCTGAGACAAAGATGAAGCAACAAGACAAGGCAATGCCCTACCTTTGATGGATGGTCCATGCAGCATTTAGGATAGGTGCATGGATGCTCAAGCCGCAAGTACCATTTGCCCAACTGATTGGAGTGAGTTGGATCACCAGCTAGTATTCTAATGAATGTATTTCTAATGGATTTTAACATTTTTTCACACCCCCACAGTCAAACAGTAGTGTGGAGCCAAGAGCCTCGGCGTTCCAGGATGCCATCCCATTATGTCCCATCAGTCCTGTGTTGAGCTCATGAAAGATGTTGCACGGTAGCTCCCCCCGCTACATCCACGTGACCTGGTGAAGCACGAGTTTTTTTGGGCCGGGTGGAGGTTTTTTTTGTTAAAGGACGGTTGGGAAAGGCAATAGTCAATAGATGTCAATAGTCATCCCCAGATTGATGAGATTTGGTGCCAGGGATGATCCAGGGATGATTGTTGCCTGGCAAGATCCAGCACAGATTTGCCATGGAAAACATGAAACAAAACGTCCATCCATGGGTCCCGGTTCCGCAACTGGTGAAGGTCCCGGGACCTCCACCCTATCCAAGGAGGAAATCCATCATTTCTTCAATAGATTAAAAAAAGGATAGGATGCCCAACATGGATTCCGCTTAAATAGATCCTATAAATCGACTCTAATAGATTCTATAAACAGATTTTATAAACATATCCTATCAATAGATTCTATAAATAGATGGAACCAATATCTATAAATAATGTCCATCAATTCCATCCTTTTCGTCAACGTCCAAGGCCCGGCCCCTGCCGGGTACGGGGTTGGATGCTGTACCCATAGCATGGTGCGAGAGCCAAAGTGCTGGGTTGGCCGAATGGGTTGGTAGCCCCTCAAAAGATGCAGAAAAGGTCTATCTATTGGAGGAAAAATGGTAGATTGAACAGAGTTTTTGGTGGAATTTTACTTCTCTAGACTTTTGCTGTTGTTTTCTAACACATTTCTACACCGCAAGATCTGATGATCATCCCCATTCAAATGAGATCTCTCAAGGCCGTAGCTTGGCCGCCAAAGTGCTATTGCTGGACCAATCCATGTGACATTCATATGTAGCAAGCGCTCAGAAAATTGAACTCGTCAATTTCAATCCCAGCAGACGCAGAAAAGATTGATGTGGATCATGATAAATCATGGGTAACTAATGGGTAAACCCAGCAGGAAACGAATGATGTGTGCATTTCAGAAGTTGATTTTTACCATGATTTACCCAGCAAATGCACACATCATTAGTTTCCTACCACAGATAGTTCTCATGCCTTGGTGTAGCCGGCCCCACGTCCAACGTTGTACGTTTCACCCAGGCTGCCAGCACATCCGCGCTATGAGACGATGTGCACGCCGAATGGAGGCCGTGCGTGGCCACATCACCAGAAGTTACGTGACGTAAGACATGACGATTGGAATCAAGATGAACCAGGATTGCTGGGTCATAGATATTGATCTGGGTAAATTATAACGACCTCAATGCGACCTCACTGGAAATCATGGTTAGTAAGGGAAATCATCCCCAAATGGCCTTAATTCAGGTTAGTGAAATATTATAATTTTCCCAGATTGATAGATCCAGGACAGGTGGCTTGAACATCTTGAAAACCATCCTCTGTTTTTTTTTTGCAGCGGGATGAAGATACGGATCGGTTTTTGGGTTTTGTTCATCTTTGGGACATTTTAAGGGACCTTAGCTATTGTACCTTCCCATAAGGGTTGTGGGAGGCAACGTTGCAATGCTTGGGTTCGGGCAGTTGGATTTTAGGGAGGCACCTTTTGCAAACCTGACTTGAATGGGTCACACACCCTTTGGGCGGGGTTGATGTTTACAAAGTTGTGGTGAGCAATTGCGTTCACATTTTTTCTCTCCTCAATCCTTCAAATGGGCTAAGGATGGCTAAGGCTAACCCTTTGGAAATCAAACCTTGTAACGGAGCCTTCACCAAGCCACCAAAATCCTTCAGAATCCAAACTTTTTGTAGGTTCCACCCATGTCCCAGTCGTCAACCAGGAGCACCACGCACCATTTTGAAGCCTATAAGGTCCGGACAGGCGGATCCGGTGTTGTTTTCCAACTGGTTAACCCACTATTTGGGGAATCTATACTGTAGTTTCATTTTTGACCATCTTATCTTGTAAAAAAACTCCAGTTTCAAGAATTTTCAAGTCTCTCTTTTTTTTGGTGCAACGTCTGCGTTCTCGGGATTTTGAATTTAGCTGGGGCTGCATGAATTTCAAAGTCATGAGGAGCTTGGATGGTTTTTGGAGAGAGATTGACGTTTTTAGCCTCGTTTTTAGCAGGTCTCCTGGACTTTCTGAATTCCCTCGAAACGACGTACGACGTACCACCCCCGAAAATTGGGATGATGGTACGACCCACTTCTGACAGTTCTTTTTGTTGTTGTGGATCGGTTTAATTGACCACACCCAGCTTTATCCTTTGATCAATCATGATGAATCATGCAGTGATGTTTGCATCATTTAGATTTTATATGATTAAGTATGATAATAATTATAGGCATATCATATATGATCTATCAACAGATACACGGCCTAGTTTCTTTGCATTAACAATGATACACACACCCATGTAGAATATACATATATATTAATTTATATGTATATAGATTTTATAGTCACACACACACTAGACAAGAAAGGATCTTTGAAAAGATCCGTCAGGAACTGAGTCCTGTAACATGCAAACCAGCCTAGACAATTAGACCTAAGATAATGCAGGTACGTTTGCACGGGTTTGGACGGTGTGTCTTCGGTGGCCACCGACCCCCCCGGGACCCCGGTGGCCCCTTGCATTATTATGATTATTATTAGAAAGGGAGAGGAAAGAAGAAAGAAAAAGAGAGAAGTTTTACATCTATTCAGATGGTACACACACACACACACCCGGCCGGAGCCGGTTCAACCCTGAAAGGCAAGAGGAAGAGAAAAGCGGACACAAACGACGGGCCAACGACCAAAACAGCGCAGGGTGGGGAAGGGAACAGACGGACCTCCGGAACCAACCTACACGGCGAAACGGACCTGACCAGGAACAGGGCACACACCTAAACCCCACAACACATTACGGAGAAGCCGCGAAGGGAAGGTAATTAGGGACCAAATGGGGGACTAGTCGGTGACGAAAACAAAACAATTAATGAAAACAAGACTCAGTTCCTATATTCCTAAAGGTCGTGCGTTGTTCCCTTGGAGGGACGGTAGTCAGGTCAGCCACAAGGGCATAAACAGCTGTTCAAGTTCCCTCGAATTAGGTGCACAATATGTTTCACCTCACCAGACAACCATAAAAAGGAAAGAATCACCAAACCTGCAAGCATGAACCTGCCTTGCTGTTGTGACCATGTTGTCAAAGCTAAAACTGCAGGAAGAAACGGAATTTCTGATTGTTCAGAACGGCTTCACCTTGATAGACAGGCATTTCGGCGAGGAACCCTGGGACCAAAGGACCAGCGGGACATCACATAAATGGTGCAGAACAGCAAGGCCAGCTGTTTCACTTTACTTAAACGAATTACTAATTCAAAAATGTCAATTCAGAAATCCGGTCAGTCGACAGTCACCCTAAACAGGGTTGCCTCAATTGGCCCTGTGGCACCTTGTCGGAGTCACCATAGGAATCACACTAGACAAGAAAGGATCTTTGAAAAGATCCGTCAGGAACTGAGTCCTGTAACATGCAAACCAGCCTAGACAATTAGACCTAAGATAATGCAGGTACGTTTACACGGGTTTGGACGGGGTGTCTTCGGTGGCCACCGACCCCCCCGGGACCCCGGTGGCCCCTTGCATTATTATGATTATTATTTGCAAGGGAGAGGAAAGAAGAAAGAAAAAGAGAGAAGTTTTACATCTATTCAGATGGTACACACACACACAAACACAAACACAAACACACACACACACGCACACGCACACACACACACACATATATATATAATATATATATATATATATAAATAAATATATATATATATATGTATATGTATATGTATGTAAACCATGTTTTCTCCGTGCCCTGCGGCCATTTTCGATGAAATGAGCTCTGCTCCTCATGGCCGCGATGCCCATCGAAATGCCCAGCGATGGCGTCGTGGCCGTGCCGCCCGCGCCCGCGCCGGCGCCGGAGGAAGTATTTGGCACTTCCACGATGGCCCAAATGCTGGTGGGAAAGACGGACCACAACAGGAGGGACTTCTTGCAACAGGTCCAGAACAAGGTGAGTCTGGTGATCTGGTGAACATCTGGTGAACTTCTGGTGAACATCTGGTTAATGGTTAACTAATTTGGCATGAAAATTTGGTTCGTGGTCTTCACAAGCCGGTGAAGAATGAATGGTTAACATCATGGTGAGCCATTTGGTGCATCATGTGGCTAATGGTTGATCCCATTTTATGGGGCATATGGGACCTAAGAATGGTGATGAATGGTGATTAAAATGTTACTATAGCATACTATCGCCTGGTTGATTGGTGAATTTGTCGAGAGTTATTCTAGCTAATCGACACCCCCAACTACTTAGATTTAGCATCTGGGATGATTACAAATCTCCAGGGTCTTGGGGATCCAGGATACTGGTTCCCAGATACCCTGCAAACGAACGTAGACGTAGACATCGTAACACATCGTAACATCAATGGTGGAGAATCCATGAACATCCACCATTTGTAGATTGTATAAATCATTTTCCTAGGCTTTTGCCATAGGTTTTCCATATCTAAGTTAACCGTTCGCCTCGCAGGTGGCTCAGGCGATCCAAAGCCCCGAGGGAAAGAAGGAAGTGCAGCGCATGTTGCAGTGCATCCGGGTCTCTTGCATGAAGCCATGGAACTGGGAATGGGGATGGAATGAGATATAATAAATTATATGTAATAATTTATAATGTATCTATATATATATATTTATTACATATATAATATTATTTATCTATATCTTATATTTGTAAACAATACATATTTATATATATATTGGGTATGTCAACAATGTGATATGGGTTGCTGAAATGGTGATGTTTTGCTTATTTCAAATTGCTTTATCCAAAAATTGGAAAAACTACTGCGGGACCTTTTCAAAAAAAATCATTTAGATTCACATAGAGATCTGTTTATGATCATTTGCGGGACCTTTTCTGTAATTTCAAAAACGGACCTGTTGGCCCCAAAAAGGCAAAATTCTTCGTCCTTTGTTTGAAGGGCCCATGGTTTGCAAATGTTTGCAACATCGGCAGGCCTACTGCTTCCAGGGTCCATCGGCCACTATGGCTAGCGTGAAGAGTGGGTTGACGACAATCGGGGCCGTTGCCATTGGACTGGATAGCAAGGCGGTGGGGTCTGGTGGGAGGTTGGCTTGTGATAAGATCAACGTCACCAAAACATAGGAGGCATATAGAGGCATATTATAAAGGGATAGCTTCAAAAATCAATCCCCCCCCTGCCAAAGAAACATCAAAAAGTAGTAATAACTACTGTACCTTTTTGTTAATGTGAAATGGCCATTAAAAATCTGCACAGTCTGCTGATGATTTATCTATCATATATATATATACACATATGAGGATTTTCAATAGCAAACTGTAAAACCAAAGGGTAACCGGGTATCCCATCCCCTTCTATCTCCTCCCGATTATATCAACCATTTTTGGTGCTGAATACCCATCAACATTGACAAGACCTCTTCAAAATCTCTCAGCCACAAAGTGGCACATCCTTTTTTTCCAGTATATTTCCATATATGTTAGCTGGTGATATGATGTTATATATATATATATATACCCCCTGGTAAATTGACATAGACCCTGAAAATCACCAATTTTTAATGGAAACTAATCTTCCAACCCCTATTTGGCAGGGTCTATGTGAATTTACCAGACGGTATGTACTATATGAACCCCAAACAGATGCCGATACGTAGGAAACCAGGACGCTCGTTCGATGATGTTGTCTCCATACGTGGAGCTATGGACCTAGCGTGGGATTAGACCAATGATGTTCCACTCATATCCAAGACTCATATTCCATTTTATATGGAGATATATAAGTTTAATATAACAATATTTCATATAAATTGATCATAGAGAGATATACATATACATATACATATACACATACATATACATATACACATGTATATATTCGTATAAATAAATAAATAAATATATATATATATATATTATATGTATAATGATGTGATACATCTTATGTTCTCCAGATGAATATATTCGATCAACTCCTCACCCTTGCGTGAGTATCTATGATGTTGTATCCAATGACTGTAAAGTGTACATGATGTCATTTGGTGTCAACACGGAATAGACGAATCAATAGGTTATCTTTCAATGATAACATGTTCTTTTATCCTGAAATCCGGGATGAAAACTCAAGACTTGGCCAACGATGTTTGGCTCAAGATGCCCGCATAAAACCCTGCTGTCTGATAGTGCTTCCGGATTGGCATTGCATTGGTATCTTGAACATCAACACCTTCGTCTGTAACCAATAGAATTTCTGGATATTCGACGATTTCTCTTCTCCATTGTTCTCCAGATCCATTCCCTTGTTAGGTGGGTGACTTCCTGGAGGACATCATGCAGCTGTTGTTGGGCGATCCCTTGGGCTCTGGGCCCTTCCTGGCCGAGCCCAGCTCGGACCAGGTCAGCGGGGACGCCCGCGTGCGGTACTTGGCTTGTGAGTCGCTCTTCAACGTGGCCAAAGTCGCCAATGAGGTGCTGGTGGATGGATGGCTGGTGGTTTGGAACATAATAAATGGCCATTTATAGTTAGGTGGAGCTATCTCAGAACAACTTCATTTCACCTCAGTGGAATGGTTATTGATGGTTGTTAATGGTTGATGGGTGGGACGGCTGGTGAACATGAATGGATTAATCTGTGGTTAATAATGGTTAATAATTGGAATAACAATGTATGAATAGTTAATGATGGTTAATAATGCTTATTAATGGTTAATGATGATTAATGGCTATCTGGTTGGTGCTGACTGGAACCATGGAATAGATTGTGACTTTCCATTCAGATATGGCTGGTGGTGAACATGAATGGACTATATGACTTTCCATTGGGAACGGAATCAATCATCATCCCAACTGACGAAGCCCATGATTTTTCAGAGGGGTAGGGAAATTTGACTTTTTGAAATCTTTTGACTTTTGACCATCCACCCCATCCATTACTCATAGCAATGAGCTCTTCCTCGGATGGGATGGAAGGTGAAGTTTGACTTTTGACTGTGATGGATTTTGACAATTACTATTGACTATTGGATTGCTATTGACAATTACTATTGACAATTCCAATTACTATTGACTATAATCCAAGTCAAGTTTGTTTTTAGTGACCATTTTGACGATTGGATTATTGACCATTACTCCATTACCATCTACCGACGGTGGATGAGATGGGATGGAAGGGATGATTCTTACCATTGTAAATATTCTTCTTTTAAATACTATATGTGAACCATGATGGCCCATGATATTTTTGATGGCGAAAGTACTTTTTGATGAGTTTTTGATGTGACATGTCTCTTGGTTTTTGGTGGCTTTGTACTGTGGGCCACCAAATTCACTGCTGATTTTCATCATTTTCTCTGGGTTATATTATGGTATAACCAATTTCAGACAAACCCTGGTGTTATGGATTTTGTAAAAATAGAAGCAAAGGTGGGAGGAATGTGGAGTGGTTTCTTTTTTAAAATTTTTAAGCTAAGAAAATTGGTGTTTTGGCAGTTGTTGGTGTTGGTCAGGAAGGTTCTGTTCTTGGAATAATTGGAGGAGTGTTTATGATTTTCTTTTCGGTATAAGCACAAAGCAAGAACGAGAAGGTTAAGGTCTTGTGTTCAAATTCAAGGGTGTACGAACCAACAAATGTCAAGGTTTCTGCATTGATAACGGGGTTTTGCAAACAAACACGAGGAATACCTCCGCAAACCTGAACTGCGTTATCCGGTAGAGCACTTCACCCAGAAACGATGGATGCTGAGTGGGTGCTTGAACCAATTCTACAACAACGATTTTGCACGATATATCGCCAACAAAGGTCAACAGGTGGTACGACCAATGGGAACAGGGATGATTGGAAGTTAGAAGTCAACAGAACTTAACTGTCTCAACAACTACTACTGTAGTTACTGTAGCCATTTTATCATATTTTATCCATATTTTATCCATGTTGCATGGTGATATTCTGTGATTTTTTCGTCTACGTTTGTTTCTCCAGAGGTTAGCCGGCTCGATGGCAGGAGCTGTTACCCTACTTGGACCGAATTTTCGATGGACTTTCGAGGCTCGCAGGAGATGTGGTTCCAGACGTGCGCCATGCTGCACAGGTCTTAGACCGGCTGTTCCTCGACTTGAAAATCTCAGAAAACTCAACAAAAATCAACAACATCTGGTGGTTTTATGATGTTTTATGTGGTTTTGCCTTTTTTCCCCACCAGCTATGTCACAATATGTCACATCTTTCCAAGCTGCATGAATCATGAAGGTTGCTGTCCTGTGGAGTCCACGGTGATGTGAAAAACCCAGGTTGAAGGATATCACTTCGCACCATCAAGACAAGCTGAATGTGGGAAGTTTCGTGGATGAGTTAGCCAAGAATCCCGGATTTGCAAAATGCAACGATTTTTCTCGGCAGATTTTTTGAGGCAGATGTTGCTAGTGGTTTATCCGCCAGAGATGGTGGGGATTCTACTGAAAAGGGAGTCTACTGTTTTTTTTTGGATGTTAAACACGCACACACACACACATATATATATTAATATATAGTATATAATTATATATATTTTTTCATGTTCAAAAGGATACCAAAGATAGTCCTTTTTCAAAATGAAAGACTACGGCAAGTCCTTGCCTTTCTGTTTCGGCTCCGCTGAATCTGAGGCGGATGAAGTTCAAAAATCCCATGATTCGGCAGCTCTGTCTGGGGTGGACCAGCTTGGTGTTGAGTATGGAGAATGTGGATCTGGAAAGCTTCATTCCGCGCTTTCTGGAAGGCATCTTTGATCCTGGGATTTTGAAGAAGGTGGGAAAAACATGGGATGTTTCTAAAAAACGTTTGAAGCCACATTAGCGATTTACTTGGCACATATGGATTATATTATATTATACAGGTGTGTGTGTGTATAGCTAATCATGTGAGATTTGGGAAATGATCTAGATGGGTTTAACCAACCAGAATTGGCAATCTATATATATATATATAAATTGTATAGGGGACGTGAAGCCAATAAGATTATATCTGGGTGTTACTGAAAATGGGGTATACTGGTATAATGCCGAGATTTTAGGATAAGTTTAAGAGAGAGCATCAGTTTCAAATTGATTTTGGTATAATTACCGTATTCTCAGACAAACTCATCTTCGCTTTTGCCAAATAATATTTGTTTATTCCTTCCAACCGCATATCCCTTTCCGAAATAGGACTGGAAATCAAATTCAATTGGGATTAAATCTGAATTTAATTCTTCTCTAGTTTCCAACCTACTGGGCATGTATCAGAAGAATTAAAATCGAGTTTAATCCTTTTCTCAGATGTCATTCTTCTGGCAGATGGCTTTTTCTCAGATGCATTCTTCTGGCAGATGGCTTTTTCTCAGATGCAATCTTCTGGCAGATGGCTGCTCAAGAGGATCGGCGGGGGCGGCGGCGCAAGCCATGGTCTCACGTGGCCACTGATGCGTTCTTGGCCGAGGAGACTCTGCGGCAAGGCGCGCAGCGGTGGCTGAAAGAGAAGAACATTCAGCACAGCACACTGACATCCACGACCTGTCAAGGCGCTGGCTGATGTTTGTGTTCTGGGGGCTGGTTGTTTGTCTACTTGCGGGGGTCCGCTTTTTGAGCTTTTTCGGGGCTGAAAGGTCCAAATTCCGGACCCCCGCTGGTCGTAGTATCTGTGGATGATTCCAGGGGTTCACTTTGGTTCCGGAGAAGGTTCCGCAGAACGTCTGCGAGGCTTTGTTGCGGGGGTCCGCTTTTTGAGCTTTTCGGGGCTGAAAGGTCCAAATTCCGGACCCCCGCGGGTCGTAGTATCTGTGGATGAGTCCAGGGGTTCACTTTGGTTCCGGAGAAGGTTCCGCAGAACGTCTGGGAGATGAAGATGTGAGGATGTGAAGATGAGAAGATATCTTAGAAGGTGTGAAGATGAGAAGATGTGAAGATGAGAAGTGTGAAGATGAGAAGATGTGAAGGTGTATGTGAAGATGTGAGGATGTGAAGATGAGAAGATGTCAGGATGTGAATATGTAAGATGTTAGGCTTGGGAAGATGTGAAGATGAGGAGATGTCTGCTGTCGGTCCGTCTGCTTAGCTAGCCAGCTGTCAGCTGTCTCTCTCTCTCTCTCTCTCTCTGGGTTCCTGCCTCCCTGTCTGTCCTGTCAATGTGCATTCTGGGGGGTCTGAAATTCCCGTCAAAATCCGTCCATGACAGGAATTAAATTTGAATTTAATTCCTTCTTGAAGGTCAGATGAAGAGCAGACACGTAGGAATTAAATTCGAATTTAATCCTTTTTTAAGGTCGATGAAGACCAGACACGTAGGAATTAAATTCGAATTTAATCCTTTTTTAAGGTCGATGAAGACCAGACACGTAGGAATTAAATTCGAATTTAATCCTTTTTTAAATTCGATTCCAAGTTTTTTTTGAATTCGATTTTCGGCCTCATCCTTTCCGATATTCCTTGTCGTTGCCTTTGCCTCCCTTTGATGCCCTTTGCATGGCAATCAGACATGGCTGGGAAATCCCCGAGATCAATGGAGGGATCAATGGAGTGTAAATCGGGTAAATCCCATTAACATCCTCAGTTCTCTTGGTTAAACCCTGATCAATCACCATAAAATATGATTAATTCCCATTAAGCCATTGAACATGTTCAATCCTTGAAATCTTTTTCAACCTTCCATTGGAGCCCACTTGAGGAAGTCATGGAAACCCACGACCACAGCCGGGACAGTCGGCAAAATGCCGACACTCTGCTGGACAAATGCTCACCCAGATTTGCTCAGTCGATGTTTTTGTTTTTCAAAGATTGTGTTTTTTCCTCAATCAATCGTGGATCTTTTTCCAATCCACCATTTATTTTGGGGAACCTACCACCTGGGGTTGTGACCTAATACTGACCATGGTTTATGACACTTGTATGTTTTTATCAATGGATTGGTTTAAGGGAACATTTTAACCGGAAACCCCCATATATTTCATGGGAAAATCGATGGTTTCCTAAGATCCGCCCACCGCCCCAAGGCTTAGAGAAGGTGAAGAATCTGGAGCGCCCCAAAGCTCGCAGGATCATTTTTCAGACGGCCCAGCGCCTGGCCCAGAGCTGCAAGAATCAGGACAAAGTCATACGTCCCTTGGGCGTGGTGAGCTTTGAAAATGGGTGGATTTGGATGGATTTGAAAAATCCACATGGAGATTAAACAACATATATATTGTTTTTTTTGATTTTGCTTGGTTTTTAAACCAACATGTAGATAACGTTTGATTTTTTTGGGGGGTGGTATTTTACGGATTTTTGTCACCAAAAGGATGTAACCATATTTAAGCAGCAGAGAGAAATATGGGGATACCATGTCCCCGTTTCTGCGCCAAAGAAACGTCGGTAGAGTTTCTTGAGGTCTGACTTTCACATTTAGAGCTCCACCCGGAAAGCGGTATGGCACCCGAAAATCCCATAGTTTACCGTCTGGTAAACTGCCACAGAACTATGGAAAGATCCACAATTTTTCATGGGAAAACTCACTATAAATGGCCATTTTCAATAGCTATGTCAAATTACCAGAGGGTATCATCATTGTCTCTATGGGAAATCAACTTGAGTAGATCCCATTTCCAGACGCCTAAATTCATGATTTCGCACCATTCTCAGCCTTAGCCAGCCCATGTCCGATTCTTGCACGTCCATTTGTCCGAACATGGTCTCCAATCATTTGCCAAGCAAGAAATCCTCCAGTCATTTCCCCCCCAAATCAAGGAAAACATCGAATCAATCCCCTTTTTCCATAGTTTTCGAATCGTTTCAAACAAACAGCTCAAAAACCGAGAAAAACAATGCAACAGTGTAACAGTGATACATTTTGTTCTGTCCACAATTATTTTGCAACTCCTTCAATTGACCATGTCCGACATACAGAACCCCTGATCTATCCCATTGTCTCATGAAAAAGCCATCACCCCAAAAGAATCAAATAAGCCCAAAGAATATCCCCAACAGCAAGAAAGCAGCGGCCGTAGATCCCAAACAGTAATTCCATATAAGCGTGGTAGTTTTTGTTTCATGACCAAGCAATGCAGGGCATTTTTGCGCCGTCCTGCCCGCCGGCCACCCCCTACTACTACTGCTACAACAACAACAACTACTACTACTCCTCCTACTACTCCTCCTACTACTCCTACTCCTACTCCTACTACTACTACTACTACTACTACTACTACTACTAGAAGTATTAATAGTACGCGCGGGTTCCGCGCGTCTGCGTTTCGCGCGGGTTCCGCGCGTGTTGTTCTACGCGGGTTCTGTGCGCGTCGTCACATTCAAATTTCTTCTGTCAAAAAGTTAATAACAACGAAAAACATTACTACTTTTACTAATTATAATTTCATCAATTTTACGATTACTATCATTTCTACTACATCTGCGATATTATTACTACTACTACTACTACTACTACTACTACTACTACTACGACTGCTACTACTACTACTACTACTGCTACTGCTACTGCTACTGCTACTGCTACTGCTACTGCTACTGCTGCTGCTGCTACTGCTGCTACTACTACTACTACGACGACTACTAGTACTACTACTACTACGACGACGACGACGACTACTACTACTACTAGAAGTATGAATAGTACGCGCGGGTTCCGCGCGTCTACGTTTCGCGCGGTTTCCGCGCGTTATCTGCGTTATGCGCGTCTGCGTTTTGCGCGGGTTCCGCGCGTGTTGTTCTGCGCGGGTTCGGCGCGTGTAGCCGCATTCAAATTTCTTAAAGAAATTGCTATATTACGACGAATATTACTACTTGGGAACCTTTACATAATAATCTTGGGGACCTTGAGAACATTTACGTGGAAAACTTAGGAACCTTGAGGGAACCTTTACAATACAACCTTGGGAACCTTGACAACCTTTACTTGGGAAACTTGGGAATCTTGAGGGAACCTTTACAATGCAACCTTGGAAAGCTTGAGGAAACCTTGACAATATAACCTTGGAACCCTTGAGAACCTTTTACAATGTAACCTTGGGAACCTTGAGGGAACCTTTACAATACAACCTTGGGAACCTTGGAAAACTTAGGAACCTTCAGGGAACCTTGAAGAAACTTTGAAGGAACCTTGAGGGTACCTTTTGGGAACCTTGAGCGAAACTTGACAATCTAACCTTGGGAATCTTATAGAAACCTTTAGAATGTCACCTTGGGAACCTGGACAACGTTTACTTGGGAACCTTTACATAATAATCTTGGGAACCTTGACAACCTTTACTTGGAAAACTTGGGAACCTTGCAGGGAACCTTGAAGGAACCTTGAGGGAACCTTTTGGGGACCTTTTGGGAACCTTTTGGGAACCTTGAGGGAACCTTGTGGAACCTTGGGAACCTTGAGGGAACCTTGGGAACCTTGAGGGAACCTTGGGAACCTTGGGAACCTTTACTTGGGAACCTTTACTTGGGAGCCTTTACTTGGGAACCTTTACTTGGGAACCTTTACTTGGGAACCTTTACTTGGGAACCTGGGAACCTTTACTTGGGAACCTTTAACTGGGAACCTTTACTTGGGAACCTGGGAACCTTTACTTGGAACCTGGGAACCTTGGGGGAATGGGTTTTGGAGCTGCTCCGGTCTGCTCCGAAACCTTTACTATGGCTGAAGACCCCAAAGCTTCTGCTGTTGGGGAAAAACATATTTAGGTTTTCGCTGGTTGAAACAGTTGGAATTTCCAGTGGAAACATGGGACAGTGAAACATATATAGAAAATTCAGAACATCTTCACTTTTTCAGAAAATGGTTGGGAAAACCTTAATTAAAGATCAACATTCATCATATTCCAAACATATAAACCATGGTAACCATGGCAGCCAATGGCAGTGTCGGGATCCCACAGGCCTGTGTTCCTTGTGTTGGCTCTACGAATACGTCAAGCTGACGCCCAACTTTGCTGGCGCTGCCTGCGCTGCGTCGTCCAGCGCGTCGTCCGCCTTCGCCCTGCGGGAGACGGACGAAGGGGAGGCCATGGCCTGGCACAACGGCTGGTCGCAGCGCCTGCCTGACGTGATGGATGGCGCCATGGTTGGCGGGTCGAAACAGGGTAACAAACATGTCGAAACATGAAGAAACACTCAAAATATCTAGAATTGTTGCTACACTATTAAAGAATATTAAATGGAGGTTAGTGATTTTAGTGATTATTGGAGCTTGGACAGATGAACATATCTAAGAAGTGGATTTATTTACAAGTGATTTAAAGATATTTTACACCAAAGCTTTGGATTTTAGAAGTATTGGAAGATATTAGAATTTCTGATAGCCAATTTTGGTTTATAAGCTACTATAACTTGGGTTTGTGGTGGAATCATGATATATCCATAGTTGATGGGGTGTTTTTCAGCCAACAAACACAACTTGGAGGCACCACAGTGGACGGTGATAGGGATGAACCTCCTCACGAATTTCAGCGACAAAGTTTGTGGCCTTGTGCCTACAGAGGCTTCCATTTTAGTCAGGCTAACCGTGACATGAAATCCAGGCCCAAGATTTTGTAGCTTAAACTTGCGAATCTCTTTTAATAAAGGAATCGTTTTAATCATGTTAGCCCATCATGAAAATCGCAGTGGCATTTTGTAAGAAAACATGATGAGCTTCATAAGGGTTTATCAGAATCAAATGGGCATTTTGTAGCAAAAGAACATGATCCAAACCTTGGCTTTCAAAAACAACAGAGGCATTTTGTAAGGAACGTGTATGCCTCAATGAAGGGTTTTTCAAAAACAACAGAGGCATTTTGTAAGGAACGTGTATGCCTCAATGAAGGGTTTTTCAAAAACAACCGGGCATTTCGTAGGGACAGAACATGACAGTATTTAAGCTCATCCGTTTTTCAAGGTTGTTGAAAATGAATTGGTTTTTTGTAGCTAAGGCCATTTTGGGAAAACATGGAGCTCAGCAACCTCATTGTATAGCCCATTATAGCCCCAAGCTTGTGAATATTTTTTGTAACCTACAGAGTTAGGGTCACAACGTCTCCCCTGAAATTCGATGGGGGATGCTATCGGATGGTTGAGTATTGGATCTAGAATCTAGAAAATTTGGAATGGCATTCAACATCAGGTGATGGGATTACGTGATTTAGGGATATTTAAGGGTGAGTTGCTGAGCATTGCTGAGCTTTGCTGCTCAGGTGTGTTCGACTGCATCGGAGACAAAGAGACCGAGGCCATGCCCGGCCCGTCAACCAATGCGGCTTTAAGAACCGTACGACTTCGGGCAATCTGACTCCATTCCCCCATATCCACCCCAAAAAGATCAACAAACACCAGTGGTCTCGGTGACTCTCAGTGGGCCATTTTCCATCCATTTTCCGCAGGTTTCCCAGATGGCAGTGGACCTCAACAACAGTTTGCTGGAGCTCTCCGGGTCCCTTGGGGACGGTTTACCCGTGACCGAGCTGGTCACGAAGCTTCGGAACCGGCTGCGGCCCCCGGAGGGCCGTCAGCTGGGGCAGCCCGCAGCCGCGGCCACGGGCAGCGAGGATCCCACCGGGCTGGTGGTGGTGCAGGTGGCGTGCCTCCAATGGATCTGCCTGTTGCTGGCAGATAGCCCCCAGCAGATGTTGCAGAAGGAAACCATGAAGGACAGGTGGATGGGAGGTTAAGACTGGTAGGGCCTAAGTTGTGTGTGTTGACATTCTGACTCATTCTGTACACATTCCAACAGCAGAACTCGGCGTGCTCGGCCTACCATGTTCCAAACTATAGCGTAGTAGTGGGACACCCTTGTTTTCCATGGGAAGGTATCTCCAAGTTGGGCAAAAGTCTACTATTTCCATCTCCAAATTAGCTATGCAGAGGAGAATAATGAGAATAGATCGATCCAAAGGGTCGAAACCCGCTCGCCAGGAGCTGTTCATGCCCATCTTTGAGAACCTAATGCATCCCCATGACCAGGCAGGTATGGGATGGGGTAAATGCTGATGGGGACGCCCAGCTCTGCTCCAGAGATCTTTATGGCAGCATGTTGTGTTGAGACATCTCATATAGAAAACAGCAGAAAATTATTATCATAATCATCATCATTATTATTATCATTGCCATCATATATATATATATAGATTGCTTAAAAGAAACAATGCAAACCTGACCAACACGGCAAACATCCCTTGCTGGCAGGTGGTCATAGCCTCCCTGAGGGTCATGGCTCAAATTATGGAGGCGCCGTTTTTGGTTCCAGCCAAGTTTGGAGCGTTTTTTGGGACATCGCCGTACGCCCAGTTTTTTGCATGCAAAACCACAGTTAAAACCTATGTTGCCATAGCTCCATTTTTGGGTTAAAGTCTCCTATGGCTTTTTGGTCGCTGCCCAGATCGGTCCTCATGTCAATGGCCATATGGTAAGGGAACATCCCCATAAAATATGGCCTTATATGGTACAGTAGCTCCATTTTAGGATCCTGAAATTCCCATTGATCATGGCCAGGCTCACCCAGTGGAGGAGTTGACCATCGAAGATTTCTTCCAAGATCGCTGCGTGGACACATTCACCGCTCCCAGAGCCCCGGGTCCGGTGGACCTCTTTACGAAGATCGTGGAGAGGCCGGGGGTCGGGGTGGGGCTGGTAGTGAATGGTGAATTATATAGACCGGTGTCATGAAACATGGGTAAATGATGGTAAACTAGTTGGTGGTTTGGAGCATTTTTTATTTTTCCATATATTGGGAATAATACTCCCAACTGACTTTCATATTTTTCAGAGGGGTAGGTATACCACCAACCAGTAAATGTAACTCCCAACTGTTGGAGATTTATTGGGGAACATCATCGAACCAAATGCTGGAATTGCCATGTTGGATTGCCGGAGCTGATATAAATTTCTGGGGTTGACACGAGGTTCATAGCCGATGAAGAAGCAATTGGTGGGGTTTGTAAGGGTAGCCGTTAGCCATAGTATGGTATAGATATGGTAGGAAAAGGGCTGAATGATGTAGGGCTGAATGATGTTGGGCTATCTCACCCAGCTCTGCAAAGAAGCTATTGCCACAACTACTTCGCATGGCATTTTATAAATCTCCCACCATGAGTCCCAACAAGCGTACTGAGTGACGTCACATATATGTGCCATGGTCAAACCTTGGGGTATCTTGACCATATTAGGAGAGGGTCATCAATCCATTGTTTATATGTATATATGATATATGTATATTCCATGGCCATGTCAGGAACCTAAATTGGAGGATATTGGAGGTACCGACTCTATCTGTTTGGTCGATTTTTCAGGGAAAATCTTCCATTGGGATGACCTTTTTCGGGGCCCCCATTGACTTCGTAATAGGTTCATAGCATACATGATGAACCATAGTGAACCTATAGTTAAGTCATCCAACTTCGAACTAGTAACTATACTTCAGTTCTATATCATATATCATTTATATATCATTTATATGGCAATGTGATGTCAGACCATTTTCATCCATTTTCCATAGCAAGAAAGCACGATGAAGCTATCACTGGAACGCCCGCAGGTTGCTCCTGGTCTTTTCCAGCGAGCGCGAGATGTTGGAGTCTCGGGGCCGTTTGATGATCCGCCAGCTCTGCGGACATCTGGACCCCAGGAGGCTCTACGTGACGGTGGCGCGTGCCATACAGCAGGAGCGGCGCTCGGGTGGCCGTATAGCGAGACGAACGCCGGGGCTGCGGTGGTGAAACAGTGCTACAAGTGTAAGTTATTGTAAGTTACCCAGTACCCTCTGGTAAACTAACATAGCTATGGAAAGATCCACCATTTTCAATGGGTAAATCCACTATAAATCACCATTTTCAATAGCTATGTTAAATTACCAGAGGGTACATGCAGGTGATGTTTGGTTAATGCTGCTAGAAGATGTTTGAAGGCAAGTGGCTGGGCACTTTTCCCACATCCAAAATTGTTCCGAAACAAGCCAGGAATGCCATGGAAATCTCGTGTTTCTGCAATCAAATCATGTGGCATTTTTCGGGACCCCCACCGACCCTCAAGGCAAGATAAGGCAATCATATATTATTCATCGCAGGAGCCCAACAAGGACTTTGCGCAGAAGTTGGTCCAGACCTTCAACTGGATCCTCCTGACAGCTGCTGAAACCCGCCAGCTTAGAGAGGAACTGCTGGAGGAATCCCAGTCCCATCCCCAGCTGCTGCAGTTGGCATCGCTGCCCAACAGCACCAGTGGAACTGGGGCGAAGGAGGTGAAACCCCTGTTTCTGGAACTCTTGGAGCCATGGTTTCACAACCCGGCCAGTGCTTTAGCCTTATGTCTCCTTGCTTGCACTTGGCTGGAAGCCTTTCTAACCGAGATTCTCACCCCCTAGTGTGCCAATCCAAATCCCAAAAATCCCGGGGGAGGGGTACCCCAAATCCATTCGTTTCCCTATGTGCGAGTGACATCAAATGACCCATGGCTGGGATGATCGTCCCAAAATCTTCGCCGCTTTTCGGCATCAAAGTCGAAATCTTCATCACTTGTCAGTATCTTCCAGGATTTTCCAGTCTCAAACCACCAAAATTTTTTAAATGTCCCATCTTCAACGGTATCAAACCACCAAAGTACATCAAAGTACATCAAAGTACATCAAGTAGCCTATCTATCCCTATCTATCTATCTGATACCGCCATGATCCAAGAGTCCAAATGTCAATTTCCCAGGTCTCTGGTCCCAGCAATACGACTTGGCCTCTGAACTCACAGCACGCTTCGCGAGCTTTGATCCCACGCTGGAGTTTCTGCAGCAGTTGGACCAGTTGGTGATGCTCATTGAGTCGCCCATCTTCTCCCGCCTCAGGTGCAGGGCCTCAAAACGACAGGTGCTGGGATTTCATAGGGATTTCACCATATTTCACCAAGAAATGGAAATGAAAACCAATGCCAATGAAGGGTAAGCATTGAGTCGAGCAAGTGCATGTTTTTCACTTGATTGCCATTGACCAACCTCAGCACCCTTGATTTTATCCTATTTTGTCCCATCTGTTCCATTTCTTTGTTTTGGTTCCCCTTTGTTTCGGCCAACGGCCGAGGTTGCGGCTATTGGAGCCACGTCAGCATCCCTCGCTCCTGAAGTGCTTGCTGGGTCTAGCCATGCTGTTGCCGCAGGCTGGCGCCTTCCAGGCCCTGACCGAACGGATGCAACTGGTGCAGAGCAGCTTGTTGCTGGAAGCGCGGGAGGCGGCACCGAAAAGTGGAGATTGGTGGGGCCAGGAGAGGTCGGATATATTTGCCTTGCCTTTTCTTTTTTTGATGTTTTGATGATGTTTGTTTTGGGTTAAACATCGCTAGGACTCGTAGTTGAATAGTCGTTAATCAGTCAAATCCCTCAGAACCCCTGCAGGACAAGAGGACTTTGGAGCTAAAGGCTTTGCTTGAAACTTTCGACAAGATCTCACATGCCTAAGAACACGTCCGTCAAGTGTGGATGGAAAAATCACACTTGCGCTCGGAAATGGGCCGTGATGCGAAGTGTGCTGAGTTGTCATGTTGGAACCCACCCGTTTCATTTTTACACTGTGGATTGTTTAACTCATTCATTGAATGTGAATTGCGGGGAACATTCCAGTGGCAAACGATCATAATCCCTTCCTCCTAATACTAAACGCCCGCCCCCTATTACTAAACACGGCAGGTAGTTTTTAGTATTAGGGGGGTATTTATTATTAGGGAGCTTTAATATTAAATTAAAACCCTTAATAATAAAAACTATTTTTTCCGATCTCAATCAATTAAATTTCTTTATATAACGGAATTATAATATTGCCAAAAATTGGATTTCGAAGCTTCCCCCAAATACTAAATTAAAAACCTTAATATAAACAACTTAAAAAAAATCGGACGGACCCTAATAATAAACACCCCGGGGTGAACTAGTTTTTAGTATTAGGGGGGAAAACCCACAAATGGTAGCTTTATTTTTAAATTGTTTTCTAAAGGGGAGCAATTAAAAGTCAAATTTGCCAATCTGAAATTTTCCAAAATTGGAGATGGACACGAGTTTTTAGTATTTGGGCGGGGTTTAGTTTATTGGAGGAAGGGATTACGGGGGTGAATGATAACCCCATCCATCAACCAGGGTCTATCCATCCAGTGTTACCATTACCATTACCCATTCCATAGAGCAGCTGGTCTCTCCAATCTCTTTGGAGGATCAGACATAGAAACTGGATGAAACTGCTGTCCTGGTGAAACAAAGGGGAGAAGCCAGGAATTGAGGGCTTACCCTCTGGTAAACATACAAAAAGCTATTGAAAATCACCATTTTAATAGGTACAACATCTATAAATGATCCATTTTCCATAGCTATTTTGACATAACCAGAGGGTAACTGGAATGATCTTCCAATCATGGTCACTACCGAAGTGGCGTTTTTTGGCATTGCAACACCTCAGCAGGGCCTTTTTGCTTCAAACGTGGTCCAGGTCCAAAGGTCGGGGACCAGTCTCCAAATGCCAAAGAAATGGGTGGTTTGAAATTAGGAAATCCATAAATCCTTCGGTTCATCATTGTTTCCCCTGTTCAGATAGACATTGCTGGTGTATACCCCTATTTTCAGACACACCCAAATGGGGATGGGTCAAAACATGTCAAAACTCCAAAATATTACCATATTTTTGGGCATCAACATCCACTAAGCAGCTATTTCAAGGTACCTAGGGCCCCAGGGTTTTAACTCACACCCAAATGGAGCAGACTTTTCCTGCAGCTCCGCCAGGAGTATGCTGCTGCTTTGCCTTTCAGGCGGCGGTTGACCGATGAGGAAGATTTTGAACACCAGAACATGAAGGTTACCCTCTGGTAATTTAACATAGCTATGGAAAATGGATCATGTATAGATGTTGTACCTATTAAAATGGTGATTTTCAATAGCTATGTTAGTTTACCGGAGGGTATTAATATTATGATAATTTTGATGTTTGTAATCTTCCACTATTTCATACCATATCAAATTCATTGTATTAATGTTGATAGAATAGGAACGGTGATATAGTGGAATAGTAGTAATGACATTAATTACTGTTGTACTGTAATGGAATATTGGTTGAGACCCTGTCGCACTCAACCATGGCCCACTGGGAAACCCCCGAACTAAATGGAGCTTCTGTGGGAAAACCAGCGAAACTAAATGGGTAGATCATCAAGAAACAATGGTTACTAATTATATATATATTATCTGAATCTATATCAAACAGCCATATCACCAACCATAGCTTGCAGAATTTTCTACCCTTTGGTTATCTAACATACCTATGGACACTTGCCCATTTATGGATAATATATAGTTATAGATAATTTATGATTCTTTATCAGTTAGGAAACGATCATTTTCCATAGCTATGATAGATTACCAGAAGGTAACGATCAAAAACATCTTTGGATCGATCGCATCTGCGCCTGCCGTGTTTCCCAGGCTTTCTCTGCCGTCGAGACGAGTTTGGGTAGCTCAGATTGGTGTTTTCAGCACCACGACATAAGGGGTTCATACCCACATACAACCCATCATTGATATAATCAGCTGGGGAATACCATTCCATATGCAGAGTATAGGATAGTATAGTATAGGTATAGGCTGCGGACAGTCACGCCCGACAGAGAGAGAGAGAGAGAGAGAGTATAGGTATAGGTATAGGTATAGGTATAGGTATAGGTATAGGTATAGGCATGTATAGCCATAGCCATACATGAATCCTATATAACTATATAATTATACAGGCCTATTAATTTAACAACCCCCCTTAAACATTAAAGGGCCACAAATAATGTTGAGGCCAAACACTACTCTTGCGGACTTTGGATAAGTCTTGCCAAACAAATTGCCAAATTGAAAGTGAACATATACTATGTGTTTTTGTTCTTGTTCTTGCTCTTCTTGTTGTTGTTGTTGTCGTCGTCGTCGTCGTCGTCGTTGTCGTTCTTGTTCTTGTTCTTCTTTTTCTTGTTGTTGTTGTTGTTGCTGTCGCTGCTGTCGTTATTTCTTCTTCTTTGTTTTCTTTGTTCTTTCTTTGTTCTTGTTATGTTACCATTCCACTGTCTTGCGATGAATGAATGGAACACTAATTGATGTCGGCTGACCCTGTAGTTGAGGCCGCCCCCTTTGCACGATTTTTTTCTAACATTTGTAACAAGAGATGAATAATAGATGAAGAAACGGATCAGTTCAGACCTGTGGGACTTTAATTCAGACATTTGAGGTCAAATTCGAAGCTTGAAAAAATGGTACGCAAATTAAAACCCAACCGACGGAGCGAACCCTTTATTATAGGTGGCTTTTATTCTTTTCCCCCAGGCATCCGAACACTGTATTGTCGTAGGGATTACTAATGGGATGGCGCCGTTATTGCTGGGGATGTTAAACCGTTGAAGCGATGCCTGTGCAGAAGCCCGAGGTGGCCGAAGCAACTGTGCACCAAGGTGCAGTTTTCAGATGTTTCAGATGGTGTTTCAGTCGGTTGATACACTTTGGACACGTTATGTCTGGCATTGTGGAAGATTTTGATTGCTTTGCATCTTTGCCCAGTCAATGAAACATACCCTTTGGTAATTTAACATAGCTATGGAAAATCATCATTTTTAATGGGAAAATCCACTATATATGGTCATGTTCAATAGCTATGTTAAATTACCAGAGGGTAGTACTCTCACCTCTTGCAGTTGATTCTTTTGGTGCCAAGTCAAGGGACCCTTGCCATTGCTGAAGCGGCCCCTGACTCACTTTGGGATGTTTGCCACTGACTTTGCCACCATGCCGCTGAAATCATGGTTCAAATTTATTCAAATTTGGTGTTCTATCTTCAAGGCCCAGCCAAACCATTCCCTTTTCAACTCTTAGCAGCTTAGCAGTTTTTTGGGGGGTGGATAATGGAAATCTATACATGACCACTAGGACCACTAACAGTAAACCAACCTTATTAGTGGAACTGGGAAGCAATGAGATCTTTGACACACAAAATTATACAATCCATAGCCCAAGTGGTAGAACGATCCACCCGTTCTGTCTGGCATGTCAGCGATGCTGCGGCCATTGAAGGGCCGGAGGAATGAGGTGTGTGGCAAAACCAGCAATTTCAGCATTTGGATGCATTGGTGAATCATCGGATCAGTTGCAATCGGTGTAGAAACGGTGGTTTCCCCATTCCAACTGGGGCACGTTGATTGAAACGGTGGTTGTTCTATTCCAGAGCTGTGACTTTTTCATTGCCATGTTGATTGCCATGTTGGTCGAACATAGGGTTAGAATCCAACGCCAGAACCATCAACCGGTAGAGCCCACAAAAATCCAGGAAATGGATTGAATTTTGAACAGCTACTGGTTGGTGGTTTGGAAGTTTGGAATATTTAATATATGACTTTCCATATATTGGGAATGTCATAACCCCAACTGACGAACTCATATTTTTCAGAGGGGTAGGTATACCACCAACCAGGTTATCCTTTAAAGCCACCTGGCCACAGGGGGTCTGCTTTCGGTCTAGGCCTGGTGCCTTGGCATCGGGCACTTCGGGAGACACCTTGGCAGTGTTGAAAGGCTTGGCGAAGGCAACACCGATGCTGTGAAGTTTTCTCTCGGGGAAGCAGGACCCAGGAAACCGTGGGATCAACAACAGGCCAAAAAACAGGGCTTTCAGTTTCCAAAAACACATTTTTTAACATGGATTTTAACATCCTAGAAACATCTTGAAGGAATCTGATCCAATTTTAGGACTTGAGGTTCACTTGATCATTTGGGCAGACATCCCGCATCATCTCATCCCGGGGTTTTGCAAGGGGAACCCATTGGAAGCTCGTCGTCCCCAGGCGCGACAAGGGCAGAAAGCCAGGCGCAGGGTGTCCTGTCGCTTCTTATGGTGAAACCCATTGGGCAAATCTCAGAAGATAGCTGGAGACGTTTTCCCAATGTTTCCCGTTTTTGGTTGTAAGATCTTGTAAGCAGGTCACAAAACTCGAGCCAATCTCGTTTTGAGCCCTGCCATGCCCTGCCGCCTTTTTTGTGTTGCCGGGAAGACCCACGAGGCGCCTTTTGGAACAGCTTCAAGCAGAGAACTGCCAGCTGGGGGTGCCTAAGCTGCCAAATGATGACCCTCAGTGACTGGCCGAGGCTGCTAGGCTTAGGGTAGCGACCAAAGGTATGACCGTTGTGGCCCGACGAGTCATGGCTGGGGCAACCCAGTTGGACTGATGAACTTATTAGACGCAGGCATGGCCCCAATATATGGGGCATGTTGGGGCATTATGGGGTAATTTAGTAATTATATATAATTATATATATAGTATAATATAGTAACATATAATTTCATTAGTAACCACCCAAAAAGATAGAGCAGGCAAATGCTAAGGATATTTTACTTTTCCATCTTTCTTCTGGGTTGCCATCATTCATCATTTCAGATGTTTCATTGGGAAGACGGGAAGGCACGATTTTCCACCGTGTCCAAAGGTTCAACATCACAGCGCGGTGATCAAAGCCTGCAGCGCCCGAGAGTGGCATGAAGCCCTGGCCCTGCTGAGTTCGATGACCGTGCTGGAGGCTGCTCGGGATGCGAAACTCTGGGAGATTGGAGCTAGTATTCTTACCCTCTGGTAAACTAACATAACTATGGAAAATCACCATTTTTAATGGGAAAATACACTATTAATGGTCATTTTCAATAGCTACGTTAAATTACCAGAGGGTAAAGGATTGGATATGGATGAATAATCAATTCAACATAATTATTCAATATAGATTGGACGTCCTGGATGTGCAATGATTTGAATTGAACTGCAGATGTACAGGAAGGTGCCGTTGTAGCGGACCACTTTTTTTTTTGGGATCAACGTGTCAATCTCCTCACAGAAAATCTGGTGCTGCAGCGGCCGGTGGTAATGGTTGGGCTATGCTCCAGGTATCTGCAGACACCATTTGCTGCAACACGGTCATTGGAGCATGTCAGAGGGCCAGCAGGTGCGTGAGGGACCACTCTCTTAGTGGTTCTTGGGAAAATTGGTCATAACTCCCTCTTTGATCCTCTTTGTGCATGGCAAAGCAGGCATGGTTTCCGATGACATTTCCATTTTGAATCCAGAGAATCCTACTTGTCGTGGTTATCAGTGCAACCAACCCACCACATAATAAGCACTGGTGTGTGACTGCATGTGACTGCACATCGTCCTCATAAAATTTAGCACCATAAATGAGACATTTTTTTGGGCCACATAAAAGGGCCTTAACATGGACCATTTAGAAGGGCCTTTTTACATGACCAGTTCCAGCTTCCTCCCCAAAATCACGGAAAGTTGACACACCAGTTCCAGTTCGATCAGTCAGCTTGCGAGGTGGCAAGCTGCAGTGGGGGTGCTGAAGCAGATGTGCCAGGCGCGACTGAGAAATGGCTATGCGGATGGACATCATGTCACTGGTCAACAGGGATCATCATGGATGTCTATGGTAAGCTTTCCATTTTTGCCATGCAAAATGGCAAGGGGCCATGGGTCTACAAATGGGTCATCAAGCCATGTTGAACTAGCAACACGTGTGGCATGGATGGCCTGGTTTGGCCTAAAAATGTCTCACCTGGTTTTCAGCGCCAGCAGAAGTGGTTGATCAACACCAAATTGTTTGACCTTTTTGACTGAGCTTAATACACCAATTGATCAACACCTTATGATATATTAGATACACCAATTCGGCTTCTTGACCTTTGTGACTGAGCTCTTCTGGCTCCTGAGTTCTTTCCAAAAATGGTGTACAATCTTAAACTTGTTCACCGCGTTTTGCTCACGAGAAAAACGCCACTTGTTCCACACGTGGCGCCAGGCGGAAGTGCGGCAGAACGTCATTTCCTACACTTGGGCCAGACACCTGTGGGTGCTGTGGGTGCTGTGGGTGCTGGCTCCACGTTTTATCAGCCAGCCGTCTCCCATAAGCCATAAATAGCCATAGGCCATATGACTTCTTGTGACAATTCTCCTGGTACCCGCTGGTAAACTAACATGGCTATTTTGAATAGGTAAATGGTATAGATAAACCAATCATAAGTTTAATAAACCACCTATTTGGGAATGGTTTATACGACCTACAAAAATGGTGATGACTGGATGGTTTATCATTGTCACATGTTTTCACTATTCTGAAAGTGCTATGGCGACGAATGGGAACCCCTTGGAGACTTAGGCCACCAACGCCTGCCTCGAGGGCGCCGCCTTTGCTGCTGGGGTCTCCTTGGTGCACGACATGCGGGCGGCTGCTGTGCTGCCGGTGCCGTCCTCAGCTCCATGGCTGCCATGGCCAGCCGTCATCCATGGGGCACCTATTGCCATAGCATTGATCCATGTATCACATATACATATATCTAATATATATATCTAATATATATATATATATCATATATCTAATTAATTCTAATTACATATCTATTATATATATATATGTATATGTGTATATGTATATATATAATATATATAACCATCAGTTTCCTCAAAAAGAATCCCATGTAGCTGTTGGATTGGTTGATCTTGATGTATATCAACCGAGCCGCTGGGCGGCCCAAACCAGAGGATGCCATCTTCTGCAGCGCCGCCATCCGCAACTGCGGACAGTGGACGGAAGCGTTGCATTTCTGGCGCTTGATGCCTGAGGCTTTTGGGTGGCTTGGGATCGGGTTGGGATGAGGGGTGAGTATTGTATCTATATATATATATTATACATGTTGGTCAAGTGTTTTTACATACATATATAATCATATATATATATACATATATATGTATATGTATATCATACTGTATATCATTAAAATGTTTGTAGCATACGCATGCATAGTTGCATATGTTCGTGTATATTTGTTGAGGCAAAGCTACGCAATCCTCAATGTAATTTTCAAGTAAATCTTGCAATATATGAGCATGCATCAATCAGCCATAGTTCAGCATGGACCTGGCCCCCACCAGTGGGACCAGGTCCAGAATCCGTTGTTTTTTTTGCCTTTTTTGTAGGTGAATCTTGAGCCAAACCTCGTGGCATGCAACAGAGCCTTGGACCACCAAGACCCAACGGAGCCCCTGGATTTGGGATTTGAGTTTCTGACAGCAGGAATCCTTGCCTTAACCAACCAGTCATCCCATTTGTTCCTTTCTTTGTGTCGGCATTCCAGGTGCCATTTGAGGTGCATCATGCCCCTCCAGAATTTCAGGTCGGGGGGCCGCCCAGGTTTGCTGGACGTTTGCGGCTCGGGGCGATGGGCGCTCTCCTTGGCGCTCTTTCATGCGATGCCGGAGATGGCGTTGACACCAGATGTCATCAGCTACAGAGCCTTGATCTGGAAAGCTGAAGCTAATCATGGCTGGAGCGGCTGGAGCGGCTGGTCCAGGATGCTCCAGGAGAAATTTCTTATCCCATACCCATCCATACCCAAGATTCAATAGAAAGAACATTACATTAGATATATAGCTGATAGTTCACATAGTTCACAAGGCGAGCCACGCAATTGGATCATGTCCCAGAATGTCCCAAAATGTCCCAGATATAGACAGATGCTCGACATTTCAATCTGCTGGACGTTGATTTTCAGACCAAAGGTGGTCCCCATTCAACCTAAATTGCGGCTGGTTCAACCATCCATTCTTGCTCAAATTGATGTTGTGGCTCCTCCCATGGCTTCATCTGGTGGTTTCCCTTGGGTTTTCTCACGGTTTCCCATCCAAAATTCCCAGCGTTCCAACCGAGGTTCGGCTATGAAAGCTTGCGCTACGATGGGCCTCTGGCAGCACTCCATTGGGCTCTTGGCCGAGGCCCAGGCAGCGAAGGTCACCTTGGATACGGCCTGCTTCAGTGCCTCGGACTGAGGAGATGTTCGATGGATTTTCGATGGGTTTTCTCGGATTTTTTCCAGGGTTTGTCCCATGATGTCCCATGAAATTTGGCAAACCGGATGGGGTGTAAATGGGTGGAACATCTTGTAAACACTTCATGCGGCATAGACATGCATAGACCACATTGCAGCTGTTTTCCGGCCATTTCTCCCCGTTTCCATATACGCGGCAGACACATTGCTGACAGATTTTTGTGTGGGAAATCCCTGAGATTCTGTGACTTACAACGAAGATGTGTCCGCTGATCTAAGCCGGATTTGGAAGTCCCATTCTTATCCATTCTTGCCTTCCAGTATCTTCCAGTCCAAAGGGTTACCGGCTGGAGTGATCACCCCATCATTCCATATCGTTCCCACGACAGGTTGTGCCATGACTGCCTGCAAGAGCCACTGGATGAAAGTCTTGGAGCTCTTCCAGCGGATGAAACACCTGAAGCTGACCCCAGCGACTCGGATGGGCTGGGATGGACTTTAGGAATCGGAACAAAAACACCAAGAAATTCAATGTTTTTCGATTGTTAAAAATATTTTTCAGATGGAATTCATTCAATATTCAATATTCCTAAATATTCCTTAAAAAATTCCTAAATATTCCAGAAAATGTTTATCTCGAATATTTTGGAATTATTTGGTATGAGTGGGCCTGGATGGGTATGGTTTATACTATTTATACATGTTTCTACAGACCTCAAAATGATAAATCAGCTTTTCTTCTCTTGGAAACCATGCTTTACCAAATGAACTCAGAATTACCTTTTATCTTTTTCTTATGGTGCCCAGCTCTTCGAAGTTTGTGAACTTGATGTTGTTCCTCTTACATGGGACTCTGGGCATTAAATGTGCACATACACGGCACCTACCTCACTATGTGATGGACAAGAATTGTGAAACAATGGAATTGCTTGGTATCAACATGGCATATAGATGTACATAGTACAACTGAATTGTATATAATTGTATATGTTGAATCATGTTCTTATAAACTTTTGCTTTGCCTCTGCAATCACTCGGACCTTCCGATGGAAGTGCGAATGTTCCAGCCCATGCCATGTTTGACCGGGGCTGAGGACGTTTACAGCTTCAGCACAGCCCTGTCAGCCTTGGCTGTGGCAGGACAGTGGCAGCTGGCTGTGGGCCTGGTTGAGGGGATGCCGCAGGCCTGCAGCCCAAAAATGAGGACTACACCGTGACTACACCAATAAAGTGGGATGAAACACGGTGTTTCTGTTCATGTTGTCTGTTTGCAGCCTTAGATATTCGAGACGCTTCGCGACGAGTGCTGCCCGCACCCAGGGAACAGGACAGAGAGGACCTCCTTGGCCCAACCCTGGGGTCAGACCTTGGCTTGAGTTGAGCCGAAAACGAGCTTGGGCCCAACTTCACGTAACTTGCGCCGAACTCACGCTAGGGCCAGATTGCTCCCAAACGGGCCCAACTTGGAGCCAAGTTGCGGCATGTTGGAGCCAAGTTGGACCCAAGTTGGACCCAAGTTGGGAGCAAGTTGGAGCCAAGTGGGTCCGGGTTGGGCCCAAGTAGGGCTTGTTGGCCGACGTTGACCCCAAGTTGAACCGATGTTGCGGACATGTGGGGTCGAAACGGTGCATCTGGACGATGGTGGGCCCATCTGCAAAATGTGCAAATTACCACAGTCCAGTCCCGTGTACTTTTTGGCGGGGGAGTCTGTCCTGAAAATGCACCCCCCAGCTGAAGCTGCACCAGTTGAACAGATCTGTTCGCATCCCTTGCTGCTAAACTACCACGCTTCAGCACCTTCGGTGCGGGCGGATTTCAGATGGCAAGATGGGAGTCAAACAAAGTGATATCCCCTTGCGCATTGATAAAGTTTCTCCTTTTGTTGGTAACTTACTCAATTCTTGATTTGTGGTTCCCCATTTCCATGCCTAGAGGCGGAGGTGCGACCCAACGCCGTGACCAGCGGCGCCGTACTCAGCGCCTTGGCCGCTGGTGCACAGTGGCAGCGGACGCTGCAGATGCTGCAGACCATGCCGGAGGTGGGGTTTTAGATGGGGAAACTACGAGGTTTTGCTGGATTTTCATTGGCTTTTCAATACGGTCATATGATATCCATTGGATTTTGCAAAAAAATCCAGGTGGCTTCGAGGTGACCTAGGCTGGTGTATCCAACACATTGAAATTTTGCACCAAAAGATAGTTCAGGAACTCCAAGATGTTTGATTGTCCAATCCGTTGTGCCACCAGCCGATTGATCAAAAAACACCACTGTTTTAGACCAGATGTTTGACAGAACGCAGAGGCACGACAAGATTTCAGACCCATAGGAAAAAATGATCAAGTTTGTCAGCGACGTTGTGCCGTGGTGATTTGTTTATGCGGGGGTGACTTCTGGACTTCGCGGGGCGACTTTTTTTCCACTTTGTGCCTTGCAATCGGGTGACTTCCTGTTAAAAGGGGTGCGAAATGTCTAACACTCATACCAGAATTGTTGATATTGTTGAATATTGTTGATATTTCCTATGTGATCCACAAAGGCCGGGGAGCCAAAAGTTTGGTTGGGTATATCGGGTTAGCATCAAAATCTGGGGCACGATTTCGGGGATTGTGAACGGACTTGAGGTCCTAAGTGTTATTCCTTTTGATTTTGATTTCAGCATATTTCAGTTACAATGCGCAAACATTTCGTCACCCATTGTTGATGCACAAAATTGGGTGACAAAAAGCGCTGGTACTCTAGTGATTTTCGTGACCATTTAAGTTTCATGATCCATTGGCCAGGGGTACTGTAGATAATCTAACCATTCCGACTGGGCCACTTGGCCATCATGCCAGCAATGCTCCCTGCCGACCTTGGTGTGTTCATTTGGAACTTCCCTTGATGCATTTTGATGCCGTGGTTGCAAGGCGGCCGTGATGCCGGACACCATTTGTCCCTTGGACAATGCTCTACCAAGTCCTGCTGTTCATAAACTAAATGATTCACATGCGCTTGACGGGTAGATGAGAAACTGCGGAGGAACTGTGGATGATTTCTCATTTGTTCAATTGTTATTGGTTATATTATATTGGCTGGACCTTTGCCCCAAGGTATCAGCTCAGCCGTGAATGCCTGCGCCAACGCCTTGCAGTGGCAACATGCCCTCAGGCTGCTGAAGAAGCCGCCAGTGCCTTGGCATCTTCAGCACCTCACGGGGTACCCAGCTTCACAAGTGGTTGAAGCAGAAATTAATCGTTTTTTTGCTTTAGCAACGTCCACCTGCAAATGTTTTCTCTCCTATGTGCCATGTGCGCCTATTTTTTGGTGCGATATGCCAAAGGGGGCAGGAAAACCTTGCATTTGTTGGTGAACCCCCCAGTTCTGGCAGCAAAACGTTCAATATCATCAACATCATCCAAATGATTCTGATCAATTCTGATCATATGCATTCATGTTCCATCATTTTCCTATATTCCCCCCATATCTGCTGTTTTCCCCTTGGAAAGCCCAGGATTTCTACAGCTACAGCGCCAGCATCAACGCCTGCGCGCGCTGTCAGCGTTGGTCCCACGCCCTGGCTCTGGCGAGTTTCCTTTCCGAGCAGCGGCAACCGCCCAACGGCATCATGTGGGGTGCCATCGTGGGCGTCATGCCGCGGGGCCAGGCACCTTCGGGGCACCTTCGGGGCACACGACGTTCAGTAACTCCATGGCCCGTCCAAGTGGTGATGGGGGAGGAAAATCATGGAAAATGATGGAAAGATATGGTTCTTGGGAAACTTTGATTGAACCATGGAGATTGAATGAGATTTATTTGTTTGGAGGGAACACTGAACACTGCCGTGGGAAGAATTTGGGTGATGTCGTGCCGGCGAATCGCGTCTTTGAACCCTCAGAGTTGGTGTAACCTTCGGCCCAACATGATCGACTTTCAAGCTGAGCTCGTCGTAGCTCTCGAATGATATAGAACCAGTAGACAGTGATATACAGTGATATACAGTGATAATATGTGATAATAATTTAATTGATAATATAGATGAGATTAATAATAATAATAGTAATAATTAATAGTAATAATTGATAATATATAATATAGATGAGATATATTGAGATATATACTGTTAATGTATATAATAAAAATAATAATAACAACAACAATAATAATAAAATAAAGAATCTAGATGATTCTGCACAGAACCAGTCATTATTAACTATTAATTGAGAGGTAATTCCCCAATTCCAACAGGCCGAGCTCACTACTCACCTGCGTCGGTCCTGGGTGCCGCAACCGCCTCCGGCGGTGCCACTGGAGGATTTGCAAGGCCGCAGTGGGCAGTGTATGGAAGATGATATTTAGATGTCAATGTAAACATCGTGCATTTAACATACCCATAGGATCCATGTATGGTATATATGCTAACATTGGGGGTATATTGATGGTAAATGTTACCATATATAGCATACATGGATCCTATGGGATAAGAATACACAAGATATATTTATTATAAATTACTATATGATGTCGGCCCCAGATTCATAACCAATGGTTTATGAAGTGGGGGTGCCCTCCAAATCGTCATAATATGATGATGGTGACCCCTCATTAAACAGCCGTTTGGGGTTTATGATGTTTATGAATCCAGGGTTGACATTATTTAATTAACATGTTTATACGATAACGATCGGCCATAGCCGCGGAACGTCTATGTATGCATATCATATTATTATTTTTCAATGTTTTTCTTGGCGGGGATGTTGCTTGATTTGATGAGCCAACCTTTTGCTGCTGAAAAAACGGTTTGTTCTTGCTGGTGTGTTTCTTGTTGCTACTCCAAAGTACCACTTCCCCTGTTGACCACTTGAAGCTCAAAAAAACAACCCGGGATTGGCTCAGCCCATCGATGCCCAATTTGTTGGAGGGTTTGTAATTCAAAAACTAACAAAGAAACTTGATCAACCTCTGAAATCCCAAGTTGTTCCTCAAAAAATCAGAGCCGAAACATCTCAAAACAGCCAACTTCGCTTCATCCCTGGCAGCCCTGTAAAACCATGGAAATTTCCTGTCACAAAACGCGCCGTTTTTGGGGAATTTGGTAAGGCCTCCACTGTTTGACCTCCGCCAGTGGCATCCTGGCTGTGGAGAAAGCGGCGGGAAAGACCAGTGAGGCGCTGCTGGCGCAGGTGGCAAGGCCGGAAACTGGCGGAAACTGCCCTGGGAATTTTCAGCCAACAACTGCATGGGTAAATGTTGTGGATTTTTCATGATTTTCTCGTGATTTCACCAAGAAACATGCGGATTTCACCAGCAACATTAATGAAGATTGAAGCACCCAGAACGTGCACTCCTCAACGGGATTTCCAGTGATTTTAAGTGGCATGCATGGGTTGGAGATTCATGAGTTGGCTGAATCATACCGAGTAAAATCCAGTTATCCGAAAAATGTTTTAGGTAAGTTCTTTTTACACCTTGAGAGTGAGAAACATCGTGTTTATTCATTCTTCACTGGAGCATTAGTAAATGACCATACAGTACCCTGTTGATAAAAAATGGTTGGTGAAGCTGTGCCCGCAGGAAGCTTCAAGAGAGGGGCTATGATGGGTCCATCAGGCAGACATCGCCTGGGTCAAATGGGCGGGAATGTGCAAAGGGCGTGGGCTGTGACACGAGGGAAGCGCCGGTTTTCAACCAATGGGCTTTGCCTGAGAACTTCAGGAGTGTACTAGTTTGTGTACGTCATAGTTTCAAGATGTTTCAAGAGGATGCACCGTTTTTTTGGGGGGCTGTTGGATCTGTTGGGGCCCTAACCATATTTGATGTTTCTAGTTCCTCAACCCGCCAAACAGCCCTGCCATGGCCAGGCGGCTGTCCAGATTGGATGCCCAAACTTCCGGTGTTCTGCCGATCGCCATGGCGCCCGAGGGCTCAGGAGAGGCCTCAAATCAGTTGAAGTCATGGTCACCGGAAACGCGGTGAATAGCCGAGCCAATTAGTCTTGAGTGAGTTGATTCTTCAACAATGAGTACCCATATATAACACTATATATATAACATTAATAATTATAACCATTTGGTCACAAACTGCTCCATCTCGAACCCCGTTTGACAACATCTGATTGCATGCTCCAATGCTCCGGTGTCCTGCTCGGTCCAGGAGTCACCAGCTGGTTGCAGTTGCAATACGCAGCGCGGCGGGTCACGAAGCGCTACTGGGCCTTGGTTGCTGCTGGTGCTGAGGTGCTGGGTGTCGGTGCTGAAGGGTTGATTGAGCCTCGGCGGATGGTGATGGTGATGGTGGCCACATGCCAATGACATCGGCTGGGCTGTGAGGAAATGAACAAATAATGATAGTAAGATTACGGTCAAACGCCATCGTTTGCCCGGACCGGGAAGAATCTGGCATGTAATGATGATGAACAATCAGGATACCTCCCCAACCCCACCCTACCTAAATGGTAATGATATGTATCTTTTAGGAGTCATGGGGAAGATGGTAATCTCATAATTAATTTATTGTAGCATCTCTTAGTGTTTCCGTGAGTATTCCGGGCTACCCTTTAAATTCTTGGGCAAACGATGGTGTCAGCGCGTAAGATTAGTAATTAAGCCAATTAATTACATATATGACGAGAATTGATAGTCAATGGCAATGACAATGAATGAGAATCAAATAAAATAATGGTAACAGGTGATAATTAACAACAACTGATAATAGGTAATCAATGATAACACATCGCTGGGACCTTCAACATACTGCTTGAGAGTTGTACAGTAATCCATTTTCATTGTTCGTATTCATGCCGTTTCTAAAGTGTTCATATTTGGAAACACCCCAATTGCATGACTAGGTTTTTGAACTATTATGCGCACACACACATACTTACATAGCACAAAAAGAAATGGACCATCCATTCATTGGAGCTCCAAGCCTGGCAGCCTCCTCACTTTCGGCGGCATGGGGCGGCTATCTAAGGCAGCACCGTTGACAAGCATGCCCACGGGCAACGGTGCATCTTCAGTTGCCCGGCAGCAAGTTGCCATATGGCGGCTTTGACTTGGACATGAAACCATGATGAAACAGCATCTGCCAGTATCTGCCATACACCAGCCACGTCAAGATGTGCAAAACATTTCAGAAAATCATAGAAAATCTTCTTCCAGCTCCCCAACAAAACATCACAAAACCAGGGTTCCATGTTCTAAGAGCAGTCCGGAGGAGGGGGTCTCATTATCGCCGCGCTTGCAGGTCATGCACACGCAATGGTCGCGCAACGGGAAGGAGGCGCGGAGTGGGTCGGAGTGGGCGCTTTCGCTTAAGCGACTTGCTTATGGTTGGTATATGTTGGTATAAACATGTATAAACATACCTAATTCTAGTTGGGGGTATGGTGCATTGACCGTGACAGGCTGGGATTCTGGCCGAATCATGAGGTGTTACAGGTATTGTGCGGTACCACTTCCCTGAGAAAACTCTCTCCGCGAAACGCCCTTCAAGGCTTCTTTTGATGTAATTACATGTTAAGAAAAGCGCCGTGATTTCAATTGCCCCCTTCATGTTCGAAGGAATTTTTAGGGTTCAAATTTCAAGAACCTTCCGGGGGCAAAACTCAGTTGATGCGGACCTTGGCACGTCGCAATCGTCGCAGGCCAGCACCGAGTACCGCGTTTTGGACAGCTGGAGCACCAGCGGCACCAGCGGCTCAGCCATGCTGCTGGACTGTGCCCCACGGACCGGGCGCACGCATCAGATTCGCGCACACCTGGCGGGCATCGGGTGGCCCATTGTGGGAGATTGCATCTATGGAGGTCAGATGTTGGATGGGAGATGCGGGGATGGGGCGGAAGAATATGGGATGTGATTTGCCATGGATGATTTTGTTGTCGAGCATGTAGTTTTGGCAGCTGTTTTTCGTCTGCGGTGGATCGGTGGGCGCGTTTCCGCTCAAACATCAAATTTTCCTTCAAACCATCTGGAAATCATCTTGAATATTGCACGTCTTCGGTCAATTTCTGGCCCATCCAGCATCTTCAGCCATCCCCCAGCCCCATCCCCCAGCCCCATCCGGCACCGGCACCATGCGCCACGGGTGCCACGCCACGGCAGGTTGGAAGGTGTCCTGGTGCCCTCGTCTCTTCCTCCACTGCCATCGCTCCTCGCTGCTGGACGCCTCCGGCCGCCGCTTCGAGGCCCGAGCGCCGATGCCGCCAGAGCTGCAGCAGGTGCTGCAGCGCTTGAGGTGGTCCGGGGGATGAGGGGAGGAAGTGTGGCTCCACCAGGTAGTTAATGGAATGCGACGGGTATAGTTTAATGTTTTAATCGCGAACAAAGATAATATTATAAATACATATATATATATATATATTATGTAAATATATTTATTTATTTATTATGTGCTTCTATTATTATTATATATATATATCTATACATACATACATTCATTCATTCATTCAACCAGTCAGTCAGTCAGTCATTCAGTCATTCATTCATTCATTCAGTCAATCAGTCAGTCAGTCAGTCAGTCAGTCAGCCATTCTGTCATTCAGTCATTCAGTCATCCACTCATTCATTGATTCATTTTTTTAGATATGTTTATTTATTTATTCAGCTGTTTTTTCATTTATGTATTTCATTATTTACTTATTTGTTTATTTATTTTTTATTTATTTGCATTTTTTTTTTTAAATTTCTGTATGTTTATATTAATTATATACACATTTATTTTATATTTTTATTTTTTAAATATTCATATAATATACACACACAAACAAGATTTTGTTGGTAAGAAATGGTAAGACGGGTGTTACATGAGTTTGATCCAAGAAGTATTGGTATCGATTATTTAGTGTTTACTGAAGCAGCTCTTGTTGCGATGATACTGCAACCTCGTATTATATCCAAAAGGTGCCCCAAAATTTTGGGGCTAGCTGCATTAGACATCATTAGATGAGTTATTAGACATCATTAGATGAGTTGGTCTTGGAATCGGATAAATATTACTGTAATATCTCACTTCATTGCGGTATTTTTACGGAAAAAATGATGATCAGCCAATTACATGTTGGGACCTACCCTCTGGTAAACTAACATAGCAATGGAAAATCACCATTTTTAATGGGAAAACTCATTATAAATGGTCATTTTCAATAGCTATGTTAAATTACCAGAGGGTAGCTCATGTTTGGACCAAATGATATGGATTCATTTTAGCACCTGGCGACATTCAATGCAGATCTCCATTCGTTGAACGCTGGAGGAGATCGGAGCCGAGGTGATCCAGCAGAAAAGGAGTGTGAAACCGGAAACTGGTTGATCCTTAAGACTACGTTTTTTGTGGGGATTATTTTTTTTTATCTCTTTAATAATTTTGAGTATATATATATATTTTATATTTAATTATATGTATATATTATACTTATGGAATGTAGCCCTTCAACCAACATGTAGCCTAGTAGCAATCAATTTACCACGTGGTTCGGAAAGTGCTATTGCTGGATAAAAACCCATGAACAGTTTTCTGCATGAAATTCCTAGTCCGCCCCCTTCTGTGGATGTTTACCCTCTGGCAATTAATTTAACATAGCTATGGCCTATGGAAACCGTGTCCCAGTTATACTTGATTTACCTATTAAAAGTGGTGATTTTGAATAGATTTTTTATATGTTTACCAGAGGGGTAATGCAACGCACTTGGCTGGAGACGGTTCCACTTCCCCAGGAAACCTTCCATTCCAAGATCGCCCACGCAGGGGCCACGGCATCGTGCACGCCGACTCCAGTCCCGCGGCCCTAGAGATGGATCATCCCCAAAATCACTAGAAATGGGTGGTAACGATCGTCCCCAAATGATAGGTTTATGACATTTTTTGTTTCCCACATAGCTCACTTTTTACGAAGCAATCTAAACATGACCAACGTCTGCGGCCCCCAAACGGCCTGAAAATTTGAGCCATACCCCCATGGCAAAGAGTGGACCAGTCGAACGAGTGGCTTCAACTTGCAATGAAATCAGCCAAAACCAGCTGACTGGGGAGAGAGCCAAGCACATCCATTTCCACACTTCCCAGGCGGCAGATGCAAGCTGGGGGCTCAATGGCCTTCCGGAGATTTCTGGATGGGGTTTGAACATGTTAGCAATCTTGCCAATAGGTTGTAGGATCTGAGGTGATCCGCTACTGGATCTAATTATTATACAGAATTATACATCCTTTGTTTTGATCACATTTGTTCTTTAGGGGGCCCAAGATGGGCCGAGTTCCTGAGGCCTAGCCCATAATCATAAGACTTGAAACCGGAGCTCCCCCAACTTGTTGACAAAGCCCGATTCAGGGACCAGCCCAAGCCGCGAAGTTGGATTTGGGGGCTGAGATCTGAATAAACAATTAGACCATTAGCCTCCTGCAATCAAACATGGCAATGGAAGATCATACCCTCTGGTAAACTAACATAACTATGGAAAATCACCATTTTTAATGGAACAATCAACGAACTAAAAGGGCAATTTTCAATAGTTTTTTGGTGTTTTTTGTATGTTTACCAGAGGGTAGATGATGTTCCAACCCACAACCTCCATGATCCTCATCAGGAGATTTCCCAGCCAGTACCAAGCCGGCCCCGGGTTTTGCGGCCCAAGGCACCTTTGAAAAATTTTGAAAATACGACCTGAGCCCCAAAAGATGCAGAGCTTAACTCGTCTGTGGTTCCACTTGTGAAATGATTGAGCAACTGAAAAAGTGTGAGTGTCACTAGAGACTATAGTCATATTACATATTATTACACCATATGTATGTAAATGCATTCTATACCATGCGATACCAACAGTTTTTACATACACTATAGATCATCGTTGTAAATACATGTACATGTAAATACCAGACTCCGCAGCAGTTCGACTTCTGCTTTCTCTCTGCGGCCCTAAGGGCCGCCCACCCAGCTCGGCGGCCCTCGAAAAACCCGGACGTCGCGCCGGGCGCGGGGGGTAGACCATCGCGGCATGGCGCTGAGACCGTGGCAATGAGCAAGTCGGGAGATCCCAGTGCTGTTGGATGAAACAGCGGAGAAAAAAAAGCCTCAAAGAGGTTGACCAGGTTCAATTGACCAAATTTACCATGTAATTACATCCATGTACCACTATTTATTCTAGCAGGATTGTACTTTTACTTTTTTTTCTCCAGATTTTTAGGATGTCCTGATTTCTTCAATACTAGATCAAACAGATACAAAAGATACCGTGCTAACACATGGGGCACCAAGGGTTTTTTCATGGAAGTGTCAGAAAGTGGACTGACTAGTCATCGCACAGATTGACAGAAATCAATCGTGATACCCTCCGGTAATCCAACGTGGAAAGGGGGGCCACTGCAACATGGAGACTTTAAGAGGAGAATCCATGGATGAATCATCTACCCTCTGGTTATTTAACATAGCCATGGAAAATCACCATTTTTAATAGGTAGACCTCTATAAATGGGCCATTTCCCATGGCTATGTTAAATAACCAGATGGTACAAAATGAGTGATTTCCATGGCGAACGCGCAGTCCGGGAGACTGTGAAAAGCCATGCTGCTCCTTCACATTGAGTGATTCATCATTTATCATCACTAACAGTGAGATTTTTAATGGGTAAATCCATTAATAAATGGCCATTTTCACTAGATGATTAGGAGTCTTATAGGATGGTGTACAAAAGCTCGATCAGCTCTTCGGCTTCCAGTGGCTTCCAGGTTTTCCCGAACTAATCATGCCACGAAGGATGCTCGCCAGAACGATGTTTGTCCAATGCAAAGAACGAGGTAACTAACAAGTTTCCAGCTATTTCATCCAATTACAACCGTTTTTTTTTGATAACCACCATTCCATAGCAATCCATATAGCAATGCATATCATATATTTTCATATATCCAGTGGTCCTATGTTCTGCTTGTGGTTCACCATCACCATCAGCTGATCATTGCTGAGGCCCAGAATCACCATCCGACAGAGCGAGGTGTTGCAAGTGAAGAGCGAGGAGGAGATCGAGGAGGATCAGGCCCCGGTACCTTCGGCGTCACCTGGGGGCGTCGATGCTGGGAGGATGGGGGAAGGATGGCGAAGGTTTTTGGGGCAAATCATCTGCAGATGAGGTTTTTGTATATGTTAACCTCTAGCTTTCTCGTGGATGTATTCATGAGATGGTTACTAAAACTAGAACTTATTATAAAGTTAGGACCTACTAGTAAAGTATACAATCCTTCTTTACTTCGGCATCGACGTGTTCTTTTTACGGAGTTGATAATCCAACAAGCATTCCTGGGGGGGCCCACCTTGTAGATAAAGGCAATGGAAGGCGATGTAGACGATGGCAAAGAGACTTAAAGTTTAATTATCCAGGTAGATTCACATAGATTCACCAGTTGCATTGTTGCATGATGATTTGCCATGATATGCTATAATTAACTATGTTCGATTACCAGAGGGTATCCGGGTATCCCCAACCAAACATGGCTGCGGAAAACAGGTAGATGAAGTATCCAATGCGATGTAGGGGATTCGGATCCATGCGATGGTCGTCCAAATCGAAGTGATAGAGGGAAAACATTTGGTCATTGTCAGCTGATGTCAGCTGTGTGTTTCAAACGTGATAGCTGTAACCCAATGACAAGGATCCCATTGAGGACACTGGCACCAATTTTCAAATAAATCTTTGTTTCCAGCAATTACTGTGTGGATGTTCATTATGTTCATTTCGCCACACACAATCAACATCAATCAACCATCGTCCGTAGAATCCACCCATAAAAGGGGATCTAGAAATCTAGTTGGATCCCAGAAATCTGGATGTCATCCACCCAATTCCAGTGGGAAAGATTTTCTCGTATGTTCTATGGATTTTCCCAGCATTTTTGCCATCCTTCGTGGCACCAAAATGCACCGAGGAAGACGCCAAAGTGGAGTTGTTGCAGCTGCTGGGCCCCCATCCCCACATCCGCGAGGCTCAGCAGGGAGAATTTTTGCTATGAAAATCTATGAAGATGTTGGCTATTTCAAGTGGGAAGCTCCAGTATTCATAGGGAACATATATGTGAAAATATGTGAACATATATAATATGTTTCACATATATATTATGAAGATATGACTATTTTTGATGATCATCATATCTTTTGAACAGGGAAAATAATGCTTATCCATCAAATTATGTGGTAAAGATGACTATTTCGTCCAACCATGGTCAGGCGGGTTTTCGCAGTCAAGAACGTGCATTGAATGATACTATCATTTAACCATGAGATCATGAGACATGTCATACAATGTTTGTATATTTGAATGCAAATGATGAGTGAAATCAACGTAAAATCAGTTTGACTCATCAAAAAACATCAAAGTAATCTCTCTTAACCATGAGACTGACAATAGCAGGGGTCAGCGGTAGCAGGTGTTGAGAGTACCACGCACAGCTCAAGGTCATGCGCTGCCTTGGCTGCAGGGGTTTCAGGTGGTTTCGGTCCACTTTCTTCGAGTCAAAATCCATCGTTTTGGCCAAATCAATCACCGCAGGGTTTGGTGGGCTGCCAAGTGAAATAAGTGAAGAAGAAAACGAGCAGGAGAGGAGCTTCCTGCTTTATGGAAGCAGTTTGACACGTGATTTATATATAAGAATCATATAAGAATCATATAAGAATCATTACTGTAAGATTCATTAATAATCTACAAATTGGTATGAATATGTATGAATTTATTTCCTATAACTTATGAACTTTGGCACCAGCGATTTCCATAACATTTCCCGGCCACTTGAAACAGGTCTTTCACCGTGTTTCACCGGGTGCTGAGGCTCATTGAGGCACTGTCCATCGCGCCCAACAAGTTTGAAGCCTTGAGACACGGCCGCTGGGCAGCCGGGCCGGGCCGGGCTGATGGGCTTGGCACCACAGGGGATGAACATCATTTGAACGGTGTCCAACAAGTTTCAGAACTTTTCTACCATCTGGTTATGACATTCACAGGAATAGCCATGGAAAGATCCTTTCATTTTTAAGAACGGTAAACCGGTAAACCATCTATTTCGATTAGGGTCATGGCTTCCATGGCTATGTTAGTCATAACCAGAGGGTATATTTGGGACTTACTATGGGTTACTGGAGCCAGTGGCTGGTGGTTAAGAACTGCGGCCTGGTCCATGGGATGATGATCCCGGCCTCTCCAAAGACAGGGCCGAACATGAAGCCTCATGTGAGTCATACCCCTATGTTTGTGACATTTTGATCAGTTGAGATATGTTGGGATGGTACTCCAAAAGCTGGTTGTTTTGGATGAACCACAGCTGCCGGTGACATGTTTGCCGGCTACAATACCTGCAATACCTTCACAAGTTTTTGAGGTTGACGAAGTAGAAGCCCACTGTGACGAAGCGTTGGGTTTGGTGGGTGGCCCTATGATAGTCCTTTCGGAGATCTGTTTCCACTTTCGGGACATTCCGATCACCATCCTTCACCTTTCACGCTTCATACAGGTTTCGAAAGGATTTTAATACCTCCAAAGATCTTCCAGTCTTTGACTGGTGGCTGGTTTCAGTCCTTTTTGTTTACTTGACATTTGCAACTTGTGAAGATCATGGAACTGGCTGTTGCTATCTAAACCATGCTACAGCAACGAAGCACAGCTAACATGCAATCATCAGCACTGGTATAGTCAGTCCTATGGCCCACGACTGTTGACATTCGACATTCGACTGATTTTCAGTGAGCTGTCCCACGGTTGTATTGATATGAGTCATGAGCTGACTTGCGTCTCCAGAATCACAACCTCTGATACAGTATCAAATTGGATACATTGTGTTCAAGAGTTTATTGGAGATCTCCCCTGACACATGACCAAATGAACGTGACGTAATCAATGCCAAGAAAATCGTTCATGGACTTTCGATGTTGATTACCCTCCAGTAAATTCACATAAATCCTACCAAAATAGGGGTTGCAAGATTAGTTTCCACTAAAAATTGGTTATTTTCGGAACCTATGTTAATTTACCAGAGAGTAACCATTATCAACCATTGTTAGCCATCATCAACCATTATTAACTATTATCAACCATTATCAACCATCATTATATAACCATTCTTAACAATGATCTTCTAATGTTCAATGGTTGATAATGGTTGATAAGAATGATATAACCATTATTCACCTGGTTGATAGGCCACATTATATAACCATTCTAATGTTCTAAGTACCTTCAACCAGGTGGCCTATCGCTGGCCGATGCCGTCAAGGTCTTGGATTTGTGGCTCGCCTTTAGGAAAGGTTCCAGGATGTTCCACGGATTCCAGTTGTCTTTTCCCGTTGTTTGTTGTTGTTGTTGTTGTTGTTGGTTGTTGTTGTTTGTTGTTGTTTGTTGTTGTTTGTTGTTGTTTGTTGTTGTTTGTTGTTGTTTGTTGTTGTTTGTTGTTGTTTGTTGTTGTTTGTTGTTGTTTGTTGTTGTTTGTTGTTGTTTGTTGTTGTTTGTTGTTGTTTGTTGTTGTTTGTTGTTGTTTGTTGTTGTTTGTTGTTGTTTGTTGTTGTTTGTTGTTGTTTGTTGTTGTTTGTTGTTGTTTGTTGTTGTTTGTTGTTGTTGTTGTTTGTTGTTGTTTGTTGTTGTTTGTTGTTGTTTGTTGTTGTTTGTTGTTGTTTGTTGTTGTTTGTTGTTGTTTGTTGTTGTTTGTTGTTGTTTGTTGCTGCTGCTGTTGTTGCTGCTGCTGTTGTTGCTGCTGCTGTTGTTGCTGCTGCTGTTGTTGCTGCTGCTGTTGTTGTTGTTGTTGGTTGGATGGGGCTACCCGGTATGGTAAACATACAAAAAACTATGGAACATCACAAAATCAGCATAGAAATCGTGAATTTTCCCATGAATAGCATGGTGGATCTTTCCATAGTTTTTTGTATGTTTACCAGAGGGTATAGGACTCAACATTTCTTCAGAGTCTAACACTTGTCTATTTGACACTTTTCCTCTGTGGGGTAAGACTTGAAACATGGTGTTGAGGGTTTAACAGGTTTATAACACATTCCTCAAGTTGCAGCACCATGCAGAAAACAGGGCCATGCCTCCGTGTTTTCGCTAAAATATGCTCCACCAAGTTGGGACGTTGATTCTACATCCACCTGGTTGGGTCATAGGGATTTTATAGGGATTTTGTAGGTCTTATAGTTGATGGTGGTTGATGGTTTTTTATCATGCTTAATCCCCCAGAAAGTGAGGCAATCGGACCAGACATTTCACCCGATTTTCAAGGTTGGAGCTGGCGCTGCAAGCACAGCCGGAGCAGAAGGACGTCCGTGAACGTCCGTGAATTTCGGTGGATTTTTTGATGGGAGAATCAGGGGAGATACTCTCATTCAATGGGTGTGTGTTGGGATTGGAATTTTGCGAGTTAAATCATTGGGGATGCAACCAATGATTTGCTTGTGGCCTATTGACAACTGAGAGTCTTCAGATGGCTTGGGGATGCCACGGGATCCTGGGGATGCTATAACTTGAACCTGTAACATCATGTAACATCTACAATGTGGGGCCCCCTAGATAGCTAGGTTGGTTTATAACCCCAATAACTATAGTCGTTATAAGTACCACAAACCATAGTTACTGGAGTTATAAACCAAACTAGCTATCTAGGGGCCCCACTTTGTATACATGAAGGTCAGAAGACAGTATGTTGATGTCTATTGACCCCTATGCTGAGATGGTTAAAACATTGGGTTTCGATGTGTTATAGTCCCCAAGTTCAGATAGAGTTTAGTCAATTCCTAAAATAGTCAAGCACTTAACTTTTCCGCATCGAATTGCGTGGTGGTTTCAGGTTACCAACGGATGGATTTCTCACCGGCCACCTGGAAGTTCAAACTCTCGCAGGCCCGTCGAGCCATCAGCCGAAGCGCGGTGACGAGGATCTGTTTGCCATGCCTTTTCTTGACGGAGCTGCTGATGATTCTCGGCGGTCAATTCTCGGCGGATGGATACCGAAAAGATCCTTAAAAAGTACGTACGTCCGTGGATTTTCACTTGAGCTACGGGAGACTCACATGAGATTTCAGCCAGTGGAAGCACAGATCCAGAAAGCTTAGATTTTCAAACCGAATTTGACCCGTCTTTTGGTTGGATGCACAACTTGAGTTTTTCCTTGTGGGATTCGAAGTTGACCATGATGAATCCCATTCCCAGGATTTGTAGTCGCCAACCATCACCACCACGTCACCATACATGACGCTTAGTAAGGGGATGTAAGGGGAATCATCTCAAAATCAGCACATGCTCATTTTATGTCAGCTTGGCGAAGGATTATCTAATTCAGCCAGATTTCATGGTAAACCATGATCAAAAACCATGGTTAATACCCGTGGTACAAGCCATGTCCCATGGATTTTCGCCGGAAAAAAAAAACACCAGCCGCGGCTGATTTCCAGATGCGGCTTGCTGATTTACACGCTGGAAACCGCTACTGGTGGCTGGGAGGTCGGCAAGTGTTCTTTGGTGATGCTCCTTGGAGATCTCGACGGGTAGGCGATCGGGTAGGGGGCTAAAACATGCTAAAACCATGTGTAAAAAAGCGAAGTTAGTTGGATTTAACATTATTCAACCATAGTTGGATATGTATAACCTGATTTAATTACAAAAAATGGGGATTTGGTGGAATATGCTAACTACAATCAGAAATTGGATGACGTACGCACATTGGAGTCGTGAGTCCTCTGTTTTGATTCCCACTATGGAATGGATGACCAGCCCGATATACCATGTTTTGACCATGGCAACCGTGGAAACACAAATCAGAAGAAACCACCATATATTACCAATGACATTTAGGACTTAGTGACATTTAATGACATTTAATGACATTTAATGACATTTCATACCAGTTCATGCCACGACATTTAATGCCACTAATGATAACGGTGGCGATGGCGCTCAAGCTCCGCTGGGATGATTGGCCGCTGGAGTCAGCTTTTTTTCTTGTCCCTAGAGACTAACCAAGAAAAAAACAAAACAGATTGACACATAAGATAAAACAATATCATTGACATAGTTACTCAACACTATTGACATACACAATATCACTAAACTCATCATTACTGACATAAACATAATTCCCAAACATCTCCGGAAGCATACATCGAGGTTCACCAACATCACCTGCACGGAGCAAACCACCCGCTGCGCCGTGGATGTAGAGGTCCGTAGCACTCGAGGCACCTTGAGGCGTGGACGGCAGAAAAATGTGTGGAGTGCTATGGGTTTATGCTGGGCTTATGACATTTTATGACTGGTTGGTGGTGTGGAACATTTTTATACATTTTTTATTTTCCATAATGTATGGGATAATCCTTCCCATTGACTAATATTTTTCAGATGGGTTGAAACCACCAATCAGATGACCTTTTTTTTGACCATGTTGATCCAATAATTCAGTTCAAAAAAAACTGGATATGGTCAGTTTATGACAATTTTTTCATGGGCAAGATGATGAACTGTGGCGACCTTGGTGGATGTTAGAGTAGGTTTTCAGACAAACCCTTGGTATCTGAAGGGGTGATCTAGCTAAAACTATGACGCTGGGAGTATCAGGGCCCATCATTGCAGCGCCAGAGACATGATCCCTGTTTGACTGGTATCGAATCTGAATTTATCATCTTACTTGGGGTGATTTTTTCTGAAAAACTGTGACAGTTTGTGTGAAATGGGTGGAAACATCTTGAAACCATTAGTCACTAGTGAGAAACATGTTGAAACATTAATGGGATGTTTTAGTGGCTGAAGTGTCAACTGTCAAAAAATTCCTCAACATGTTGAAAGATGTTAAAATCGTCACCGATGCTGGCAGGTTCTTCACCAAGCAGGGCTGGCCAGGATCCCAGTCTGCCAAGTAAAAAAAAATACAATGTCTCAAATTTAGATCATTTTTTTGATCATAACTGGCCGACTGGTAGAAAAATCATAACCCATTTAAGATCTTCTTTTTGATCAAAATAACTGGAGACAAAAAATCAGAGAAGAAATCGAACAGGTCACAGGTCGCCTTCTCAAATCCCATGATTTGGGGAACAGCGAGGCACCTGCCGGTGACCTACAAGACAGAGATGGGGGGCTTCAGCTTCGTCCCTCGATGTGCTGGGTGGTTCCCACCAGACTCTGGTGGTATCTATACCTACGGTAAGATACAGAAACATACACGAAAATATATGATATAATATATATATATATATATTATATATATATATGTGTGTGTGTGTGCGTGTGTGAATTGTGTGATATAGATATGTATGTAGAAAATATAGCATAATGCATCGACTAAACAGATGAAACTGATTAAACCTACAAAAAGGTGAATAACAAGTAGACATAGGGATTTTTTCCAACTTCCTAGAAATGGATCGACATGGAACGCCAAGACTGCTGTGCTGCCCCTGGTCATCGCTGATGGTGGCACATCTGAGGCCAGTTACCTGGGTGAGAGGCTGAAGTGCTGCAATGACCCCAACGGCAGCTTGGACGATGGATTGGACGATGCGAATCCCTCGGTGGATTGGAGAAATTTCGTGAAACCTATGGCATATCATGACATCATAATGGGTTTATGCTTAAGTGGCGATGTTTGCCAGCAATATTCAGCATCATCCAGCTGAAACCATGGAACATCTCATATTTCTTTATATTTCTGTGCCATTTGGTGGAGCTTTGCCGCAGCAGCTTTCGGTCGATCTCCAACCGCAGTTTGTCTTCTTTCCCAAAAAAAAAACACCAGAAATGGGATGGCTTGAAGACAACCAAGTATTTCAAGATAACCAGATCGAATTTACTCAAGAGAAAGCTGCCCGTTGCAAGTATCAAGTTCTTATTATCCCATACCAATATTCCATTTTATTATCCCGTAAAAAATCTACAAACATCTCATATATTATTATTTCATACACTATCCCCAACAATAAACCACATTATGAGTCTCAATTATCCCATATTATCCCAATTATTTCACCATATACCCATATTTATCCCATATTATCCCCACATACTATCCCATATACCCTCTGGTAAACTAACATAACTATGGAAAATCACAATTTTTAATAGGTAAACCATCTATAAATGGGCCATTTTCCATGGCTATGTTAAATAACCAGACGGTATCCCATATTTTGAGTCTCCAAATCATCCACCTCTTTGTGGACGACCTACGGACCGTCGGTGCGGACCCAGGTCGTGTTGGGCCTTGTTGTGACCTCATGGAGTCGACGTCTGAGGTGTCTGTCTACCTGGGTCAAGCTTGGTTTTTCGACAGCTTTATACATGGGGTGTATATGGGTACTATATATATATACATACATATCATATCATATCATATTATATTATATTATATCATGTATATATATATATACATACGTGTGTATAGAGAGGTACACTTATTTTAAGTCATGATAAGTCATATATGTATATACATACAATATAGAGAGCCACACACTTATGATCACAGTGATAAGCATGATTAAGATTTGCATTAAAAAAAAAAGATAGATGGATGATGGATGGATGAACCGATGAACGGATGGATGGATGGACAGACAGATTGATAGAAAAGATTAAGCACAATCGAAATTCCAAAGGCCACTATGACTACCAGCTCAGCTCAATCAAGGGGGTCTCCAACATCGTGATAGATTACTATTCAAATTGGTACCATCTATAGTAATATGTAATAAACCCCATTGCTTTATTACGATAATGGATTGATTTCAGCCAAACTTGAATCCAGACACCGGCAACATCCGGAAGCCATTTTTTCCTCTCCAATCCTTAGATTGATGTAAATAGAAATAAACACATAAATACACACTATGTATCTATACCCCGCCCGCAAAAGATAAGACTGCCAAAGCCTCCTAAAATAGTGGCAAATCACTTTTCCATTTTTCTTGGGGCTTACATCATATATTATATGCGGAAACAAAAAACACCTGGCAATTTATATAACATGTAACATAGCTATGGAAAATCACAACTCACGGTAAATCATAAGTCATCTATACATGGGACATGTAGCTATGTTAAATAACCAGAGGGTAACACTTTTATTAAAAAGATAAAAACCAGTTACCCATAGGATCCATGTATGGTATATATGGTAACATTTACCATCAATATACCCCAAATGTTAGCATATATACCATACATGGATCCTATGGGTTATCTTAGACTTTTCTTTTCTGCCAACGTATAGCGTGTAGCACGCACCCAGGGCTTTCGAAAAACCCCGTGCCGCGTAGATCTTCTGCGACAACCTGGCGCTCTTGGGGCAACGCGCCTGGGACGGTACGGTGTGCCCGTCGAATGGCTGGGATTGTCTCTTCCTGCACCTTGGCAGCAGAAAACAACGATCAAATGGGATATATACCCTATGGAAAATCACCATTTATAGTTGATTAATGGGATTTAATGGAGTTTAATGGGATATAAATGGGATATATAATAGATATACCCTCTGGTAATGTCAACATAGCTATTGAAAATTGCCATTTATAGTGGATTTACCCCTTAAAAATTGTGATTTTCCACAGTTTTTTGTATGTTTACCAGAGGGTAACCACCAAAATATGGTGAACACGGAGGGAACAACAGGAACAACAAGGGCTCATGGTCAAAAATGCTCCTCATGCGGACTCATGCGTGACTGTGGAGGCTGTACAACTGATGTAGTATTAATATGTGTTTGTCACGCCTTTGAGCATGAGTTTGTGGCTCAAGGATTCTTACTTTGCTATAACTGCTATGGTCCCTTTTATCCATCGTTTGCAGCATTCAGGGCTAGTCCTTGCCTTGAAGGACTATGATTTCTGCGGATGATCAACACATACTGCTTCTTCGTCTCGATAGTAGAGTTGTTTCCTGTGGTGACAACTCAGAGAATCCATGTGACATCCCCCCTGTGGATGTGGGTGTGAGATACACCCAAATTGCTGCAGGCTTTGCTCATAGTGTGCTTCTCCGAAGTGATGGTTCTGTCGTCGCTTGCGGCGACAATGAAAGTTATAGGTTCCACCCTTGGACAAGGGCGTAACCTACAGCCAAGTTGCCGCAGGCTATTCACACACCGTTTTCTCCGAAGCGATGGTCGTGCTGCGTGTGGAAGCAATTGCTGGTTGTTTGCAGGTGCCAATCACAGAGTGCTTCTCCAAAGTAATGGGGTCGCTGTTGCGCGATGGAACAAAGTCAAGGAGTGCAACATTCCACCTTTGGCCCCAGGTCTCAGGTACACCCAAATAAGTGCAGGTAGTTGGCATACAGTGCTTCTTCGCCCCGATGGCACTGCCATTGCTTTTGGCTTGAATGAAGCTGGGCAATGCAATCTTCCACCTTTGGATGAGGGTATGTCATACACATCATACACCTGGGTGTTTGCAGGTCGCTATCGTACAGTGTTGCTGACTTTTCTTACGAAGATGATGATGACATCATTGTGAGATGCTTTGGTCTGGACGGAGTTGAAGTGCTGCAATTGAGAGCCGGATCTGCGGACCTCAAAAGAGCCTCGCGAGATCTTGCCCGATGGAGAGCTGTTGGATGTAGTGTGCAGGGCAAATCCAAATGCCACACTTATGACGGTGTCTTTGAAGCACGGAAAAGCAGGCGGGGCATGATATACTCATGTCAGACGTCGACCTCGTTGACCAGAAAAGCTCGACGCGCACAGAGGGCGTTGCTGTAAAGGTTCTTTCCACGTCGAATATCTACGGCTTTCAAGTTAAATAGATTATATTATATTAGTGGCAGCCACACCAATCCTGTTTGTAGATATAATTTTGAAAGAGGACAAACATTGGCAGTGCACACGCGCGCAATGCAGATGGCATCCCCATGTTTTGGCAGTCTGGAAGATGATTCTCCGCAGATACGTCTAAATGCGGCCGTATAAAGATGGCTTCCATGTTATTATTTATTATTAATTCATATTACATTAATTCATTACTAGTTTTTAAGATCTTATATTCATAGAAAACAAGCTACTTGTTTTTCTATCACAATGCTCATACTCAAAATAGTGCTACTACGAAGAAACAAGTAGTGCAGTAAACCTACCAAGTATTCCCAAGTCATCGCTGTGTAAAAATGGCTCTGAAAAACCATTCCCATTGGGTTGCCCATCCCTATACATCTACCTCCGTTTATACCATTCACAAATGGATCACACGTGAGAATAGTTAATAAAGTCTGGCACTAACAATATCTAACAATATAATACTCATAATAACAGATGCTAACCCCAGTAGCAAGTAATAACTAATAACCATTTTTTGTTTGTTAATATGTAGTTCGTTAGATGGTATAGTAGCTACTACTATAAATATAACTATAAAGCTATTGGATGGCTTGAGTGACCATAACTTATTCTAGTTTTCATTATTGTTATAATCATTACATGCTCAACTATAACTACAATAATTAGATGGTCAACTATAACTACAATATACAAGCAGATGCTCAAACCATCACTGCAACTGTTATAACTACAACTACAGATGGTGTAACTATTAGTTATAGTTTATCACTTTGACACCCATAACTATATATATATATCACTATAGGTATAGCTATAACTAGAACTATAGCTATAACTATAGCTGTAACTATGACTATAACTATAGTTTGATAACGATGTATCTAGTTAAATTATGCTAGTTAAATTATATACATATATTTACTATAACTGCACTAAAACCTATAACTAAAACTATAACTATAACTATATAACTATATCTATTAACTAGAAATATATATATATATATATATAACAAACAACTATAACTAAAACTACATCTATAACTAGCATAAACTATGATCCTTTGTCGGTTTCAGACCACAACCGCTTCACCCTGGCGGAGCTCTGTCCAGGATCGATGACTTTGATCCGGCCAAGGCTGCGGACCTGCGCCTTGGTTTTGAAATTTTGGTGAACTGGTGATGTTGATAATATTGATTCATAGTTATTGATATAGTCATTGATATCATAATGTTATTTGATATATATTCTATAGTAGTGGTTCTTATCAATATAGTGATATGATATTGATTATTAGTCATTGATTCATAGTCATTGATGTTGATAATGATTCTAGTTTGGGATGATATAGTCATTGACGGTATTGACGGTAAACAATGGTAAGTAGATTCATTTTGGAACATGCCATAGATGTTCTTTTTCCACTGGAAACTTGCAACTCCCGTGGTTCACAACGGCATCCAAATTTGATTAATAGTCATTAAACTATCACTATTATCGAATTAAACTATACGAAAATCATCCCAAAACGATTTATAGTATTGGTTCTAGTTTTCTAGTATTTTATAGTATTCTTTGTGTTCTAGTATTGAGTATTGATTCTAGTATCTATAGTAGCTTTCAAGAACCTTTTATTGCATATTGATTCTAGTATTGATTCTAGAAAGATTTACTATTTATACATTTATACAGTATTGACTCTAGCGTAAAGTTAAATATGATTTATGACGTGATTTCTAGTATTGATTATTATGATTCATTCGATTTTAGTGATTAGTTTGGACTTGCAACTGTAGATAAGGACCTCACTAGAATTGGGATATCGGATTGCCATGTATCACTGTAGGCATATAATTTTAGAAGCCAGACTTCATACACCAGAGAAAGTGTAGAGAGCTGCTTGACTGGCAGCGGAGACATCCCAAAATGAACAGTGGCTGCGACTGCCAGACAGAAGTGTTGGTTGATCATTAGTTCTTTGTTCGGGGATCATACTACCCTCTGGTAAACTAACATAGCTATGGAACATCACCATCTTTAATAGGTAAATTAACTATAAATGGGCCATTTTCAATAGCAAACTGTTGGTTTATCAGAGGGTACCCTATATGTTTGGGATCACAATCCACCCTGGGAATCCCCAACGAAACCGAATGGATTGACTGAGAGGCTTTCCAACACTCAAATTATTATCCGACTTCTGAATCATCACAGGGCGGAACATGTTTGGAAAATCTTTGGTTGATTTCTCAAAACCCGTTTGAGACCCACCTTGGCATTTTTTGGGGAAAAAACACATGCTGGGGTGGCGCGGTCATTGCGTAGCACCCTCACGTATAATGCGCAGATCCTTGATTCATCCATGATATGATTTGAAAGCATGATATCAGATGCATGCACGCATTTCAGGGACAACTCCGCCCGTTTTCGGAGTCACTTATTCCAACCAACATATGGTTGCACGCTGTGGGCAACATTTCTATTCTTTTTGAAAGCCATGCCGCTCTTCCGAAATCATGTAGATGTAGCTGTTCCCAGAGATATGCATTGCAATACTCATGGCAAAAAGGAAGCATAACCATCCCCACCAAAGCAAGTGCTGCGATATAGTCAGAGCTTGTCTCAAGATGTGGAGATTTTTTTTTTTTATGTTTATGTTTTCTCCCCTGCATGGCTCTCAGGAAGTTTTACACGCCACCAGACCTCTTAAGCTTCATCATTGCGGCTGGTGTGGTGGCACTTCGTGCCTTGGTGTCGGCTTAGAGATTGGCATCCAATAGGGACAGGTTCTGAGACTTTTGTTGTGAACTGCGGAAACCCTGGGTGGCTAGTTAAATCCCTTAGTATGCCTACTACTCTTTTGCCCTGATCATTTTTTGCCCTGATGGGGATATATAATGAATCACAATGATATACATAAGTTAAGTATTACATTATCGCTTTTTTTTGGGGGTACCCCACTAATTAGTAAACCATGGTTTAGTAATCCGGGGTTAAGAAATGTTTGTAGATGATACAATGATGTAATGACATGTGCTGTAAATGATTATAAACATCTAGTTTGTTGCAGGGTCCCTAAGTTTTCCCAGGACCAGTGGATGTTTTTCTGAGCTCATGATCCAGATTCCTCATCGTTTCAGACACAATGTGCTGGTCCAGATTCATCAGGACGAGCAGAAAATGATCTTGGTGTCTTATCGACTTATGGGTCTGTATGCACCTCCTCCTTTTCTACGTGCATGCGCGTTATCATATATATATAGTATGTATGTATATTTCATTGTACTTGCACGTGGATACTTATGTGCAATTTTCCAATGAACATAAGATAAAATAAGTCCATCTTTACTGCACACATAGACGTAAGCACAGCAAGTATTTATGTAAATACATTTCTGCGCGCGCAGACGTAGATACACTCTCGTTTATGAGTTTGCCATTCATCCCGCTTTGTAAGTAAGTGGCTAATAATTCTGATTAGTGAGTGCCCGTTCAGTGGATTACCCTCTGGTAAACTAACATAGCTATGGAAAATCACCATTTATATATAATGGGTAAATCAACTATTTCCATGGCCATGTTCAATAGCAAACTGTTAGTTTACCAGAGGGTATCCCATTTATAACTGAACTAACCCACCAGAGCCATTCGGGGCGTTCACCCCGCGTTGATCAGCAAAGTCTTGGTCTCAGTTCTGGTGCTGGCCATCTTCTGGTCACTGGTCGTGCGCTTCTGTCGGGCTCCAAGCTGTGGAAGTTGATGGGAGGAGTGTTAGAAAATTGGATCAGGATGGGCCCTTAAAAGGCATATCAATTGCTGTACCAATAGTGAATGTATATGATATATATATATACATATATACATGTGTGTGTGCTGTGTATGTATATAAAGTAGGAAATCATCAATAATCAATAATCAATATAATCAACAACAATGAATACGAATCAGCAATAATAATTCAGAAACAATATATTAGTCAATTACTCTGTAGGGCATATATCATTGACATAATATATATATATATATAATTATATGTACATATATATATATATATGTATCCATTTATTTGGCAATTTTTGGCGCCCACATTGTCCCACGCCTGCCACGCAAAAGAGGCGGAGACCCAAGGGACGCCAGGGCGTACATCCGAGCCCTTGGCAGTGCACATTGTCCCACGCCTGCCACGCAAAAGAGGCGGAGACCCAAGGGACGCCAGGGCGTACATCCGACCCCTTGGCAGTGCACATTGTCCCACGCCTGCCACGCGCCACGAGATGCTAGAGGACCAGTCCTTTTACTCACTGCAAGCCTGCGAACGGTTTCTGATTTGCTTGCGCAACACTCATCTATTTCATGAAAGCTCGAATCTTAGCTTTGGCTAAGTGAGTTGGCCTGAAACATCCGGATTTCAACTCCTATTTCAAATGATATTGAATAACTTCAAGCAAAGAATATCCATGAAATGATGTTCAACTCCTATTCTTTGCTTGAAGTTGAATTTCATGGCCAGGGTGCTTGGTGTGTGCTCGGCTATTTGGGATGAAGGCTTTGATCAGCCAGACTTGGCACGAGTTTAGTCTCGAGTTGAAGATTTCCATAAATTACCCTCTGGTAAACTAACATAACTATGGAAAATCACCATTTTTAATGGGAAAATCCACTATAAATGGCCATTATTTTAGATATCCCATCCTTCTAATATGAACCACCCCCAAGGTCCCAGTTATGTGTGATTTCACCCCCTACTATACAGACCATGCCCCCGCCAGAGGTCACACCTTTCGAACACATCCAGCCGTTTGGTTGATCGACTCCAAACCAACAGCATGATCACGATGATGATGATGGTGATGATGATGATGATGACGATGACGATGGGTGATGGATGATGATGATGATGATGGTGATGATGATTATGGTGATGATGATGATGATGATGATGGATGATGGATGATGTGTGATGGATGATGATGATGATGATGATGACGATGATGATGATGATGATTTTGATGGTGATGGTGATGGTGATGATGATGATGGATGATGATGACAATGATGGATGATGGATGATGAATGATGATGATGGATGGTGATGATGATGGTGATGGTGACGGCGATGATGATGATGATGGTGATGATTATGGTGGATGATGGATGATGTTTGATGGATGATGGGTGATGGTGATGGGGATGATGATGGTGATGGTGATGGTGATGGTGATGGTGATGATGGTGATGGTAATGATGATGGTGATGGTGATGGTCGTGGTGCTGGTGATGGTGATGGGGATGATGATGGTGATGGTGATGGTGTTGGTGATGATGATCTGATGGACGAAGGGTGACGGATGATGTGTGATGGATGATGATGATGATGTTGATGGTGATGATGACGATGATGATGATGGTAATGATGATGATGGTAATGATGATGATGGGTGATGGATGATGGATGATGTGTGATGGATGATGATGATGATGATGATGGTGATTGTGATAGTGATGGTGATTTTGATGGTGACGGTGATGATGAAAATGATGGATGATGAATGATGATGATGATGATGGTGGATGATGGTTGATGGTTGGTGGTTGATGGATAATGGATGATGTATGGTGGATGATGGATAATGAGGAGGATGACGGTGATGGATGATGGATGATGTATGGTGGATGACGATGATGATGACGGTGATGACGATGATGATGATGATGGTGGTTGATGATGGTGATGATGATTTTGATGGTGGATGGTGGATGATGGATGTTGTTGATGGTGATGTTGGTGATGGTGATGGTGATGATGATGATGGTGGTGGTGATGAAGATGATGATCATGATGTGTTGTTGTCTGAAAATAGGGTATCGCCTCAAATAACCATTGTACTATGGATCATGATGATAAACCACTGGATTTTGGGCTGTTCCATTTGCAGACAAATGGGTTATTCCCGGTGCTGCAGGTAAAACACCAATGCTTGGGAAAAACCTGAGATAGGCGACCCTAAAATTCGGATGATTAATAAACATCATAAACATGCATATGTACATACGTACGTGCATACATACGTTCATACGTACATACATACTTACATACGTACGTACATACATACATACAAACATACGTACATACACACCTACATATGCACCTACATACATATGCGCAAACATACATTTCGACATACATGCATACATACATACGTACATACGTACGTACATACATACATGCATACGTACATACAGACTTTACATACGTAATTACATATGTACATACATACATACATATATATATATAAATACATACATACACACATACATACATACATACACACATACATACATACAAGCAATACGTACGTACATACATACATATGTGCATACATACATACGTACATACATACAGAGGTACATACATACGTACATACATACGTACGTACATACATACGTACATACGTTCGTACATATATACATAATCATACGTACGTACATGCATACATACGTACGTACTTACGTACAAATATGCAGACGTACTGCACATGCATACATGCATACATACATACATACGTACATACGTACATACGTACATACATAAACACATATGTACGTACATACATACATACATACTTGCGTACATACATACATTTATATGTATAATATGAGTAACCGACAAAATTGTTGTACTACTAATTTAGTTTTTGGTTCGCCTTGGCCCTTCCGAGGTTGCACAACCTTGATATATAACCTCATTTGGGTATGGCATTAAATTTAACCTATAGTTTTGACGGCGACTCGTATATATATATACATATACATATATGATATATATATATGTATAATATATATTTCTTATGTGACACTAAAGCCATCGACAAAATGACCCACATCGATTGTTTGGGCTTTAACATGTTGATCCATACGCTGAGTTGAGGTGATTGCACCGGTTGCATGAAGCACAGAATGGGTAAACTTCAACGGTTCGCCAGCCGAAACGAGCAGGACTTTCGGCATGGTGAAGGGCTCCCATGTTGGATCACAAGAATCCGTCAAGAGTGTTCAACAATTTTAATTTTGGATAGTTTTAGCATGCTTTAACAAATGGTTGGACATGTTTGGAATGTTTTTTTTCCGGTTAGCTATTAGCGAGGTCCTAATTTTTGAGAAGCACCTTAGCCGCCCTAGCCCTAGTTATTTTGATTGGTTCGGTGCATTAGTGATTCTCCTTCAAACTGGCACAGGTACATCAGAGTCTTCCTCAGATCACCGTGTCAAGATGTGTGTTTTCTTCTTGGACAATCTATTACAAATGGATCAACTGTCGTCAATGTGGTACTCGGGCCTTTGGTTCAATTGACCACGGGGGATGGTCATCAATCCATAGGGATTCACGGATACCCACCGGATGCCCATGTCAATAAGCTTCACCGATTCCAAGGACTGAAAGTTATGAAAGGAATTCTCAAATTTGGGTTTATCCAAGACGAGGGACTAGGGCATACCCGACTTAAATTGCGACAATAAACAAAACGAAGAGAGAGAGAGAGAGAGAGGTATATATATACATACACATGTAATATATACATATAAAAATTATATATACATGTATTGAATTTACATATCATATATCATATATCATATATCATATATCATATGTTCAATGCATGATGATGATCATGATCCCTAGGTAAAACGTCACAACCTGCGCCCAGTCGGCATGCCCCACTGTCAATTCGCCATTTTGGCAATGCCAGGATGATGAGGTGGAGGTGCCATTTGCATCCATTTGCCATTATCGTTGATGATTTGTTAGATGTAAAATGTATGGTACTAGCAGGTTGATTCATACTTATAAAATCGTTATAAATCATGAAAATCCAATTATTTATAGCTTGTGCTTAATCATTATGGAACGGAAATTGCATGTGGTTTACAGCTTTTTAGACATAGATAGATAGCAATAAAGAAGCATGTGTATATGCATATGTGTTATACACACACAATGCACGCATGGAGTTTTCGATCCATCTCATAGCGCCCACTGGGGCCTTTTAGATCGAAAAAAACCCGAGTAGCTCAGGTTGGATGACCTATGACATGTCCAATGTGTCCATTGAAAAATTGACAGTTTATCCTCTGCTAATCCAAGGTGGCAATTGGACATCCTCTATCAATAGAGGCTTTAGTGGGAAAATCATCTGCAAATGGTGTTTTTTCCATTGCCATGTTTGATTGCAGGAGGGTAAACCGACTTCTCATTTTGAGAATTGGGCATCGCGGCATAACCTTACATAGCCATTGTACCATTTGTACCGTCGTATTTTCAGACAAACCCGTGTATTGCTTACTTGTTCCATCCTCACCATTACGAGACACATCCTCCCAGCGGGCACCAATCTTGAAGTGCAACATCCAATAGTTTGAATATGGTGTATTTGAGCTCACTCTACCATCTCTACCCCCCAAAAAAACAGTGTGGTTCAACTGTTTCTTTTCTACAGGATCTGGAGTTGACACCGGATTTCATGTCACCACCCACTGCGCCACGACTGTGGTTCCGTTGAAAAAACCGATCCGTAGGTCACAGAGGTGCCCCTCACGCCCAAGCCAACCTTTCGCGCGTGGGGGCACCCGAACCACCTGGCCTGGCATCAGTTTCACATGGCACCAATGGGGTCAAACCATGTCCCAATTTGTGACCATGGGCTTGATCATGCCAGGACTTGACGCTCAAACACCAGTGAAATTTTCGTGGGAATCACTTCATTTTCATAGTGATTTAGACAACAGACAACTGTTTTTTTTTTTGCCCGTAATCAATCATCCGTAGCCATTTTGGCTCAAGTGACCCTTCGGCTCAAACAGTACCTGTGAAGACACGTGCATCATACGCCAGGCCGCCAGAAGCAATGGCTAACGTTTTCGGTCGGGTGCTGATGGCGTTGGTCTAGGGCTACATCGCTGCGAATCACGGTTTCAATGCTGTGTTGACCATCACCTTGGCATCTCTTTTTGTGGGTGGGCTACTGCGCAACTTGCGTTTGACAGGCACGAGCTTATCGTCTTCCTTTGCCTGGGCCATGGCCGTGCGGCTGACACTGTCCATTCGCTCGCTCCAAAATGATCCCTTTGATGTGGACGTTCTCAACACGAACACGGTGAGTGATCTGAGACAGAGGCTGTTTGAGCGATTGGGTTTGGACCCTGCCGAGTGGCACTTGAAACTGACCTATGATCTCACGGTCTTGGACAATCCCACTGCGACACTCAGTGCGTACAATCTGAAGACAGGATGCTGCCTGACGATGGTGAAGGAGCGTCCTGGCCCCATCGTCCTCCATAACACCATCAACGATTACCAAATTTCAACCGACAGCTCTCACCTGCGCCCTGCGGCCAGGTCCAAGGAGCTTTTGGGTACCGTGAACAGCATCGAAGTTTCTGCCAAAACCTTCCGAGACCAGGGGATTGGATACGCGAAGTCGAAAGTGTTTCTGACCCTCATGTGTGGGAAGGAAGTGCGTGTGCGCCAAAACATCTGGGGGACCTACAGGGGCAAAGACTACAAGCACGGCAAGCACCCACCAGCGATCAGCTAAGTATACTGACCGTGACGACATCGTCTCGCAGGCTAAGCCAGGTTGTTTCTACCAGATGGAGTACGAGGTGGGTCATGGAGGTGGGCACAGGATCATCGTGGAAGACTGGGTCGTGAAGATATCCTACTTGAGTTCTTCTTGCACCGAACCCAGCGATGTGGTGGACTTTCGAGTACCAGTATGAGTAGTATGACTAGCAGTTATGCTATGAAGACGAGTTTTGCTTTGATGCCGGTTTGTTCATTTGACCCCGCGCTGATTAGTGACGCAGTGACGCGCAGAAGGTGCAGTGTGCAGTGCACTGTGCGCGGCCACAGACCAAAAAATGATAAAAAATGTACAGCTATGTAATTTCGTCGCATACATAGTGGGAAAAAGAAAAGGCAGCAAAGGCGTGTACCCTTTTGAGCCGGAAAGTGAGAAAGAAAGTAATCAATCATGTTAGGGGTTAGTCTAATTTGGGGTTGACAAGACCTGAATTCAGTTGATTTTCTTCACGGTTCCCCTATTTGTTTGTAATACAATGAACAGATTTTTAGGCCCCAAAGTGCCAATTGTTTATCCAATGGATATAACTATGTCAATCCCGTGTTTCAAATCTCTTGTTCAACAAGGTCATGCCAACATGCCGCCTCAGTTCTCCAGTTATCAGTTGGTTTATATCACCCCCATCAAGTGTATGTAACCATAAAACCATATAAAGCCTAGATCAACTATATGTATCTATATTATGTATCTATCATATCAAGTCTAGTTACAATTTTCCATGGTAAACTCCCATGGAAGAAACAGCCGTTGCGTCAGGAGCATGACGCAGGATACAGTTGGCACAGTTGGTGAGGCGCAGTTGCGAGGAAGGCATATTCAACAGCTATGGGAATAAACAAAAACTGGGGCATTTCTTGATATGACATGATATGACATTTTAATAGGATTTAATAGGATTTAATATGGAAATTTGATGGTTTTACTATGTTTTACTGCTCATCTAATGTGGTATTTTTCATGTTTTGTTGTTCCACTGAAATGGGATGACTAGCCTCCGGCAGCCTCCGGTGATTTCAACGGGCCAACGGGCCAACCGTTAAGCAGAGGGTAACCCCCAGATAGTCCCATGTCATCCATGAATATCCCAGTAGAGTTTTCCTTTCTTGGGGGTTGGTATATACATGTATATATACATACTAGTACTATTAGTAATTACTGTAAGTTGCTGGTGAATGATTCAATCTTCCCCCTAAAAGCCATGGTATGCCATGCGTCAGGATTTCTCAATACTTTTCGAGTTCGAAGCAGCATAAGACTTGATGAACATGCGTGGAGTATTCAGCCGCAAAGCATTGCAGTGGATGCACAAAAGAATAGTGGAAAGAACATCAAACTATTGAATATTCATATGCAAAGGATTGACTTTCCTGGAGAAAGCCAAGCGCATATCGCATGCAGATCACTTTTTTTTGGTTTATGTTGAAGTCTCTGAAACCATGTCTTGCTTGATCTTGCTTGCATCCACCGCATTATCTGAGGGTGGCACGTCCTCCAATTTGTTGAGGCAGAAAAACTATGATAATAAGAACATGCCTGTAGTAGAACTATTTGTTCTCATATACTATGCTCACGCATATATCTTTTAATTATATACACACGTATATTACGTGTATACTGTATATTGTGTGTGAATCTTGTTGCGTTGAACGATCAAAATATGACCACTGTATCCAGTGCCGCTAGCCACTGGCCGTGATCAGGGCCTTTGACCCCGCGGCCAGGATTTTGTTCAGAAGATCAACTCTGCCCGAATGAGCAGTCGCAAGCGAGGTGTTTCTAGACGTCGGGGGAGCCCAGTTGCTGGGATCCGTGCCTCCAACATGAATAGATCCAATACTAATGCGGGATGTGTGGTATTTTTTTGGAGGGGAACGCAGGATTTTGTCCGTTGGTTCCCAATAAAGCATTTGACCCAGTTGGACGTGTAATTTAGGCTGGTCCGGATAGATGCTGCCCGGTTACCCTGAACGAAACAATAATCAAAGGCTACAATGCTACAAATTACTGTAATTATAAGGTAGTGGGAGTGTCGCATTTATCCACAGGAAAATCTCAAACATGGTGATAGGATGTGATAGGAGTAGAATTGATGGCCAAAAAATGCGGAAGATGACCATGTTCGGATGATTTTGAACAGTAAATCAGGCAAAGCAGTGTGGTTCGCTTTCCATGGCTTTCCCGTAAGAAAATCTCATGGAATTGACCCAAATTACCCTCTGGTAATTTAACGTAGCTATTGAAAATGGCCATTTATAGTGGATTTTCCCATTAAAAATGGTGATTTTTTCATGGTTTTTCGTATGTTTACCAGAGGGTACTCTGTGAAACCCACTCACTCACCTCCAATTGGGGACGGCAAACAGCGGCGCTGGTGGATGATTGGCATGGCGTTTGGCTGGTTGAATCCGAACATTTTTGATGGCACAATCCATCACAATCCCCAGGTGTTTTTGGTGAAGTCCTAATTTGGGCTGATGAAATCCCAGTTTCTGATGACTAAATCCCCTATTTTGGTTGGTTGCCATCTGGTTATGACATGTTACTAACATAGCCATGGAAAATCACCTTTTTCAATAGGTAAACCATCTATAAATGGGCCATCTATACCATGGCTATGTTAGTCATCACCAGAGGGTAATTTGGAGTTTTTACGTGGTTACATGCCCAATTTGTCTTGGTTCACGTGGTTCACCCAGCATTTTTATGACTTCGCTGCGCCTTCAGCAGCGCAGCTACCAGGTCTGCAAGAGGAGGAGGAGCTGGTGATAAGTCCAGAGCTTGGGCATGTCCCACAGGCGGGATCCACCGGGATCCCCTCTGTCAATGCTGATGTGACTTTTTTCTCCGATTTCTGGGGGAACAATGAAAAAAGCCAATGATTTAACATGATTTAACCACTATGTAACCATCAAAACCAATGGTGATTACATATGATTTTTCACCATAGAATATAGATTCGGGATTAATCATCTATAATTGGGTATCGATTGTAATGGGATTCACTTTGGGACGTTTTGATCCACTGGGAATTCATGGTGGTTTATGGTGATTTTCAGGATATTTCACCAAGAAAAATGGGGATCTGAATGGGGAATGCCCCCAAAGCTCCATTTGTGGCGTTGGGATTTCCACGCAACGCCACGTTTGAGAACACGTTGGGAGGGTAATATATATATACTGTATTATATACATACGTTCCATGGTGTTTTATGGGGGGGATATCATGGAGATGTTTCATGGCTATGTTTTTTCCCGTTTCGTTTTTTTTTTCAAATATGTTTCTCTGCTTCTTTGTATCTTCCTGCTTTTTTGTTGTGCTTCTCAAGCCTGAATAAACCCCAATCAAGAAACACTATACAGTATACAAATAAACACCAAATCAACCCCCAACAAAAACTAAAGCAACCTTACTTAAACCCTAAACACACCTTCCCTGGATCTATCTGAACCTTACCCCATAAACTCTTAACCTACCCTCAATAGATATGAAACAAACCATAAGTAGATCTTAAACCAATAGTAAATAAACCCTAAACCAAACCCAAATGAACCCTATTTTCAAAATACCGTGCAGCATGAGCAGTTCGAGTACCACAAATGTTGCAAATACAATGGAAAATGAGAGGTTCGAACTCCAAAATGGTGCAAATAACAAGGAAAACGGACAGAACTGAACAGGGAATCCAAAAAGAATATTCAAAATGGAACAAATAATTCCCGAAACAATTCCGGACCCTAATGCAAATAATGGGGATATAAATGGAGACAATATATCACAATATGATTTACTCAGATAGCCGAGGAAAGTGGTAAACCAACATTTTTTAATATGTAAATCATGGAACAAAACGGTCCATGGCTCGCAGGGTGGCAACCCCTAGTCGGCCCGGTGTCGAAAATACCTTGCCTGGAAATTGTGGAGGAAACATCATCGAACGACCAGCCCGGAAACACTGTTCGGCATCTTTTTGATGAAGAATGTAATGAATGTAGGCACCCCAAAGTCGTGATGATGATGGTAGTGATGGTGTTGGTGATGGTGTTGGTGGTGATAATGATAATGTTGCGAGTCTGGAATCGGAGCCTGATCCTTGATGATGCTGGGAGATTCCCCTAGGTGGGATGCTGGGACGAAGAGCGGCTCGCTTTCACAGTTTTTGGGTCCTTTTTTTATAGGCACCATGACTCAAAGCCTCCATTTTGATCATTTTGTGCAATATTTCAACATGACAAAACTGCAGATTAGGATTAATTAATTAGGATGTCAGGAACACAGATATATGCGATGATCACCTCAAAACTGAAGGGAACATTCACCACCAAAAAGTGTCCCCTTTCCACAGGCTCTGTTGACCTTGCCTGGTGTGGTGCAAGAACTTGAAACGGTCATGGATGCCAAAAAGGGCGAGGCTCGAGGATGGCCATGGCCAGGGCAGGCGGTTTCTGAAAAACACGGTGTCCTCAGAGCTTTTAATGGGGTAAACATACAAAAAACTATGGAACATCACCATTTTGAATTGTAATCAGCTATATATAAATATTATAAATGGAAAATTGTCAATAGCTATGTTAAATTACCATAGGTTCTGAACATCAAGTAGTCAAAGTATGGTACAAATGGGTGGCAAAAATCCAGCTGCCGGCTTGTGCCATGGTCAAGTTACATGGAAAACCATACCCATCATGAATTGGTTTCCTTAGATAATGGGTGCATTTACGAAAACAAGTGGGGGGGATGACCATTCTCTACATAGGAACATCATCCAGGTCCTAAAAGGTATTGACCAATGGCCCATGGCACATATTTTGATGTTCATTGTTGTCGTCCCCCGAAACCTGACACCAGGTGGGAAACTTCGACAAACATGGGAAGTGTTGGAAGACTGGTTGACCATCAAATTTGTTGTGTTTCTTATGGATCCTTTGCAGGATCGGGCTCACAGTAGCGACACCTAAACACCCTGCTTTAAGGCTTTGGCCTTTTTTTTTTCTATCCCCCTCAGCGACTTTCCTACCAATCCACTCGCAACTCTCACGCCAGTCTTATCCCACGCCAAAGTCCAGTTGGGGGGAAGATCAAACGCAATTTACGAACGCCAAGTGCGGGATGGCATGAAGCCCCTGGGGTTTGTTTCTTTTTGCCCATTTCCACTTCCGTTGCTTTAATTCAAATAGTATCCTCATCGTTGCTCTCATTCTCTTGGTGACTCAACCGCCTTAAACTTAGTCAATCACTAATTATTAATTATCCACATTTTGAATCAGACTGGTTGCCTCCGTACAGCACACATTCCATAGTATTGCTCCCTTTTGAAGACATGGAAGCGCTTTGGAAGCGCTTAATGCATAGGTTACATAGGACATCCTTTGGTATTCTTTGGTATCCTTTGGTGATAGCTGATTGAGTCTTATTCGTAGATGCCACTCCCCAAACCAAACAAGAACCCTGAGAATCGGCCATCTCAATGTAGTCCTCCGGCCCCACTTTGGCGGGCGCGTTTCGCGTTAGTTGGGAAAGTATCAAGTCCATTCAAATCCGATTTTGCTAGCAACTAGTAGCTCACAAACAAGCTCGAAAAGCTTCATCATTGCCTATGTTTGAGATGTCACGTTTCTATTTTTTCTGCTGGGCTTCCGGCAATCAGACATGGCAAAACCAATCGGTCCATCAGTTTAGAGTTTCGATGCTCCCAGGCGGCGCGAAACCAAGCCGTTGAGGAGGCGCGGCGTCAGCTTTTTCCCATGCGGAAAAAAACCTACCAGGCTCTACCCCGGCCAGAAAAAAGGTAGGCTTGTGATTAATGATAATCAACATAATGTTGTAAAGAGCAACCCTGTGTATGTATGTATATGTGTATATATATATATTATATATACATATGTATAGTATATACATGATAATATGTGTGTATCACATGTTTGTTTTTTTTTGTGTGTATATAATCATAATTAAAATCATAAGATCAATTAGTTCGAAGAATGACTGTAGATGGTTCGATGCTGGCGATGGTTCGATGTTGGTGATGGGGGCTTGTGGTTGTGGCTCAGGAATGCCGGAAGTACTTGAAGTGGGAGGCACATGAGAAGCCCTTGACAGACTTGGAGGATGATGACATCCATCCGCACTTCAAGAGAGGCAACTTGAATCGTGCCTGGCCTTGAATTCATCTTGGGCCATCCCATTGTATCCTATTTACGTATATTCAGTTGAGGATGGAAACGGGAAGTTGCAGTGTATGTTGGTGTCAACCCTATTCAGGTGGGCCCCACTTCCACTTCGATGGTGGGTAGGGTTTGGCTCCTTAAAGCCTTCAGTTTGACAAAGAAATCCATTTGGTTATGGGCCCAGAGTTCAGACACAGGACAACCGAGAGATTTCCATGTTAAAATGAACTGAATAGAAACGCATCGGCAACTTTTGGAAGATTTAAAAGATGTTGATCCATACATATTAGATCGATGTTTTATTTCATGAATCTTTCCGGATTTGAGGTGCCCTATGGTAACCGGTCAGGACCGAAGCAAGGTCAAAGAGTGCAACATGCTTCATGGATGTTGCGCACATGGGTGGACAGATATGTTGAAGAGTTGTTACTGTAGGAGACACATGTTTATCTTTATATGATATCAACATTATCCACAAACATGAACTAGATACTGTAAATAGATACAACTGACTACATTGGGCGTCATGTGCACAGACACAATTTTAAAGATATCTTGAGCATGGAGAAGCTTACTCCTTGTTTGGCACCGGTTCCACTTGCTGCTGATACTGTTTAGCTGACTTTGCATTGCAGAATGACTTTGAGCGCTGATCTAATAGACAAAAGACGTAAAAGTAAAGTAGATAACAACAAAAACACAAAACACAAAACACAAAACACAAAAAACAAACAAAAAAAACACAAAAAACACAAAAAACACAAAAAGCACGTACACACGTACACACGTACACACGTACACACGTACACACACACACATACACACATACATAATTACATGATTATCATGAATACATGATTACATGCATTCATCCATCCATCCATCCATCCATTCATCCATCCATGCACATTGTTGTTTGCAGTTGCTCCCACTGCTTTAGATTTCCGGCCACCCATGCGCAGCTGCACAGGTTTTGTGGTCATGGCGGAGCAAGCCACGATGCAAAAGAAGGCATTGATGCCTCTCATCGCGCCTGGTCAGTTTTGGAGGGAATCGGCCCTGAGAATGGCCTAGGGGAATGATGGTAAGTTATCGAAGGGGAATGACGTAAAGTAAGTCGCATATTTCCGGTTTGGGAACTTTCTGGCGAACGGATGGGATGAATTCTGATACACTTCGCATGTTGAGACATCCTTGGGTACAGAGAATGCTCAGTCACTTTGAAAATCCAAATGGCTCAATATTTTTTAGTAGGTATAGATTATCAAACTATTTCTGGGCCATGGCTTCCATAGCAACCTCTTAGTTTACTGGAGGGTACCCTTCGGCAATCAAACATGTCTTGCTAGAAGATCCTCCATTTATCGAAGATTTTCCCAGCTATAAACCACCATTTAGTTTGGGGATTTTCCCATTAAAACCTCCATTTTATACATACGTAGTTATAGAGGATTTTATCATTTGTTTCCATGGATTTCCAATGGCAATTGCCATATTTGATTTCAAACCCTTGCGTGTAAAGGACGGCCTTGCCGAGGAACCTCGGCCGCCTTCGGCACATTTCCCTCAAGTTCCAGGCAATTCTCGGGATGTGCCATTTCCCTCAGCAAAAGTGGAGAACTTCAATCAGAGAATGGGGGCTATTTCTGGCTATTTTATGACATTAAACAAAATATTCACATTAAAATTTATGTGTTTTTTTGATTTTTTCTGGGTTGGAGATGTATTAGCAACAGAAATCCTTAATTAATTGCATCATGATCATGTCATCCCTTTGATTCACCCTTGGGACCCCGAGACCCTAGACATGAACAGTCATTCAATACCAACCCAGTCATTCCTGGGCGTTGAATGATTCCATGGGAGTTTCGCCTAGGGGAACATGTGGAGGTTCCATTGGCCGCAAAGCGAACTGGGAGATTTTCCGCCAACGACCATAGGGATTCCACCATTCTGAAGAATTCCAGGCGTGGAACAAACATTTCTTCAAGATTCCCACCAGATGCTACACCAGTTCTTAAGGGTGCTTTAGAATGTCAGGTTTCATGCTATATATCATGATAGATCTACAATTAATCCATAATAGTATCATAATTAGTTAAATCCAGGTATAAACCAGCTCTAATTTCCAGTTCTAAAGTGGTATTAAAGTGGTTTTAATATGTCCTAATCATTATAATCCATATATAATCCATACTGTATCCAGATATATCCCTAATTTAATCCAGCTATAAAGCACCAAAAACAGCTGGGCACCCACCTCCAGGCTCCAATGGCTCCAATGGTTCGATCAAAAACCGTCCCGGCACGGCGAATTCCGCGGGCAGAGGTCGGGTGGCCGGTGTCTTTTTAGTGAAAGAGGAAGGGAGGTATGAGACCAACCATTTTTATAGGGATTTTATAGGGATTGTATAGGGATTTTATAGGGATTTTATAGGGATTTTATAGGGATTGTATAGGGATTTTATAGGGATTTTATAGGGATGTAATATGATATTGGGAGAAATTTGGATTTGGATAACTATAGAAATGTGGTGATTTGGACGGAGGTAACCTCGCAAGTATTGGAGATTCTAACCCCCATGGCATTGAAGGTTCAATGCCAGTTTGCCGTGGCTTAGATCCTCATCGGGTTTAAGAAAAAAACTCGTCATTTTGCTGTTCTCCTTTGAACATGACAATCTATCCGGGTAAATTATAACGACCTCACTACGACCTCACTGGAATCATGGTTTATGTTAGGAGAATCATCCCCAAATAGCCTTATTTCAGGTGAGTGAAAGATTATAATTTTCTCAGATCTATGCTGCGCGCAATGGATTTGATGCACCATTTGCAGATGTTTTTCACTTATGAAGTGTGCTGATCCCACCTTTTTATCGCCCAAAAAATTTCAAACTGGGTATGTGACTCCCTTGTCTAACTGCTTCAATCCCATACCCACCATAACCTGATTGGTTCATTTCAAGGCCTAACGGATTTTTGTTAATCACTGAAATCAAACATTGATCCTTGATCACATTTGATCACCTTAAATTGTTTACTGCTGAACTACCATGTTGAAGGGTTAAATCCAATTTTTGGCTGATACTAAAACCTCTATTCTCATTTTCAGAAAGGTTGAACCTCTGGTTTTGGCTGGCACACCTATTTTCATGTCAAGAACTCCATAGCTTTGCCTTGTAGGGTCGCTGTTTCCTGGTCAACCCCCCGTATTTTCTGCTGAACTTGGGCCGTTTCGGCAGGCACGCCGCAGGCCTGGGGTCGGCCCGGCTCCGCCAAGCGCCGCCCCGCCTCGGCTCTGGCGGACCGCGGCAACAAAGGCGACAAAGACCGCAGGAGGCCGCAGAGTGCGCAACGGCCGGGGTCACTGGGACAGAGAAGCTCCTAATGTTGGTAAACCATGGTAAACCATGATAAACCCAATAAACATCAATAAACCATCCGTACTTTGATGGTTTATATGAAGTTGGGGCCCGCAAACGATAGCTAAGTTGGTGAACATAAGTCCAATAACTATAGTTTATGGTACTTATAACTATAGTTTATCCGGTTGATAAACCGACTTATATATAATTGTGGTGGCCCCACAAGGTACCACCCAGAAAAATGGCAAAAAAAAATTGAATGGTGGATCTTATTGTTTTACTAACATTATTTGGGATGGTTTATGATTATTGGGTTTACCAGTCTACCACATTATTGTTGACACACGCGTGGTGAATGGTGCCAAATATGGATATGTTCCCTATGTTTTGCCATGGTTTTTGGTGGTAAGATGAACGTGGGAAGGGATGAATGATGATGAACACAAACAAAAACATATTTACGCCCACAAGGAAAGGTATTAAAATGTTTGATGAAACTTGGGAGATATTTGGAGTTTGATGCATTTTATGTGCAAAACATGGAATGATCAATGACACAACTTGGTTTTTATATGGATTTTATTGATTTTGTGCCTTTGGGTCAAGCGATTCTATCTATAAAAGCTCGATACGACATGGGAGGTTTTCCTTTTACGTCAAAGTGAATAGGTATCCCATCATTTTGCGTACACAAGTTGAGATATTATGATATGATGAGATTTTGTGTCCTAAACAGTTGAATAAGTTGAGATTGAGTTGGGATTGAAACCCAAAATATCTGCAAGAAAATTGTTTAGTAGCAAAATAAACATAACAACATCAGCAACTAGCAACAACAACAACAACAACAGCAACAACAGCAACGACAACAAGAACAACCACAACCAACAACCAACAACTAACAGCCAACAACCAACAACAAGCAACGACATTGAGCAACGACATTGAGCAACGAACACAGCAATTAATTACTGTACCAATAATTATCTGTGTGTCATGCGGGAACCATGCGGGGCATATACGTAATATATATATATATCATTATATATTTATATAGACATCTACTCTTTGATCGAAGGAAGTTTAGAAGTTAAACTTCCGACAATATGGACAGATGAAAAGCAGAGATGGGAAGAGTCAGAGAAGAGAGGAGAAGAAGAAAGAAGATCAAAAAAGAGAAAGTCTCAGAAGAAAGAAGATCCAGGTGCGCGAAAAGGTAGGAAAGTCGCGAAACACAGAGTTTTTCCAATGATTTGTGGCTCCGGAGGGGAGAAGTAGGCTTGCTAAAGCCAGTGGGTGCGGAGCCAGCTGGCCAGATGAGAGATGAAAATTGCACGCCGTTGGACGTTGTGACGGCGCGAAGCACATTTCGAAGTCAAAATGTACAAAACACCTCAGCGTCGGACCACTTTTGGAAGTTGAGCTGCCGAAAAAAGTGCACGCCGTTGTGGCGCGAAGCACATTTCCAAGTCAAAATGCGCAAAACACATGTTCGGACCACTTTTGGACGTTCAGATGCCGTTTCGCGTGGCAGGCGCAAGGGATTGGGCACCTTTTCAAAAGCGAGCAAAACGTGAGGGTTTTTTGTAATATTTCCAAAAACGATGGCAGGCGTGGGACATTTGAAGAGGATCTGGCAAGATGCATTTGCGTGGCAGGCGCAGTACAAGAGACATGTTCATCAGAGATGTTGTGATGTCCGGGCGCTGATTTCCTGAGAAGGGTTGCATTTTGGAGCATCAAATCTTCAGTTTTGGGAAGATGATTTTGCGCGACAGGTGCAGCACTTCGTTTGACCTGGCATCACTTTGTCGTGGCAGGCGCAGTACTTTAGACAGGTGGAGTGGAAAAATCGGAAAACGCATTGGTAGAGGCCGTCAGCTCTGCACTCAACTTTCCATTTTTAAAGGAAGTCTCAGAGAATTGTTTCGTTTTTGATGTTGTCAACTTCGAAAAATGAGGAAGTCTCGCAGAATTGTTTCGTTTTGACGTTGTCAAGTTCAAAATTGAAGAAGTCTTGCAGAATTGTTTCGGTTTTGACGTTGTCAAGTTCAAAAACTGAGGAAGTCTCGCAGAATAGCTTCGTTTTCAAGCTTGCAGACAGACAGACAGACAGACAGATAAATAGATAGATAGATAGATAGATAGATACATAGATAGATAGACCACAACAACAACAACTACTACTACTACTACTACTACTACTACTGCTGCTGCTGCTGCTGCTGCTAGTACTACTAGTACTACTAGTACTACTAGTACTACTAGTACTACTAGTACTACTAGTACTACTAGTACTACTAGTACTACTAGTACTACTAGTACTACTACTACTACTAGTACTACTAGTACTACTAGTACTACTAGTACTACTACTACTACTAGTACTACTAGTACTACTAGTACTACTACTACTACTACTAGTACTACTACTACTACTACTACAACTGCTACTGCTACTGCTACTGCTACTGCTACTGCTACTGCTACTGCTACTGCTACTGCTGCTACTGCTACTGCTACTACTGCTACTGCTACTGCTACTGCTACTGCTACTGCTAGTGCTACTGCTACGGCTACGGCTACGGCTACTGCCACTGCTACTGCTACTACTACTACTACCACCACCACCACCACCACCACCACCACCACCACCACAGCTACAACTACAATGACAGCTACACTACATTACATTACGATACGCTAATTAAACTGCAGCACATTGCAGCTACAAATAAAAATCCAACTACAACTACACTACACTACTTACATTGAACTACGCTACAACTGCAACTACCACTACATTGCATTACGCGACGCTACACTACAACTACAACTACACTACTTTACACTACAATGCGCCAGACTAAACTACTCTATACATACTACAGTACACAGCACTACGGTACACTACACTACACTACACTACACTACACTACACTACACTACACTACACTACACTACACTAATTACACCACACCACAACTACAACTGCAACCGCGCTAGACTAATTACACTACATACAACTACAACTTACAACTACAATTCCACTACACCACAACTACAACTACACCTGCAACTGCAACTGCAAGTACAACTGCGCTACACCACACTACACCACACTACACCACACTACATCCAGCAGCTGTGGTGAGGTGACCACTTCAACCATTGCAACCACTCCAGAAAACACAACTCCAACCACCTTTCGGTCATTTTCGGTCCATCAGTGGATTCGCTCTGCCATCTGTGAGTCACAACAACCAACCCTTCCTATAGGTTTCCTATTTTTGAAACTTCCTCCACCGCCTTGTGCGGTACTACTGGTACGAGTGGTTTAACATAGATGTAGGACATGGCTAGCCGTCGGAAATGGCGGACTTACGTCGATTACCTACCCTAAGCACTAAACCACAGAGTTGATCATTTTCTTTGGGTATTCGATCATTAAATCCCACTAAGTCCCATAGACCAATATAGACCACACCATAAAATCGCATAGAATCACGATAAAATCGCATGACATCACCATAAAATCACCTTTAATCCATCAGTTTCTTTTGGTCTTCGTCGATCTTCCCATCCGTTTCTCCAAGGAGTGCCATGCCGCCCATGATGCCTCCGTCCACGCCGGCGCGAATTGAAGTGTCCAACCTCTGAGCGCCAGAGCTACAGGCACGTGGCGTGATTTCTGTGACAAAGGATGTGAAACCAATGACTACAAATGGGTTTGTCTGAAAATAACATATCCCCTATTCCAATCTATTCCACTGGTTTATCATCATTTCCCATTAGCCATTTGTGAGGGCATCGCCCATTTGCAGACACACACAAATGAATACAATTGATATTTTAATGGAGTATTGAATGTAATATATATATATATATCAATCTATAATACATCTTAGCGGCACCTCATAGGTTTGTATGGATTATAAATGGATGGTTTTAACAACTAACTATCAACTATCTATCAACTATCTATTTGTTTAATGGAGTTTACTGGAATATCATATGATATATGATGGTTGTATTGAAATTCCAATGGATTTGCCGATTTGGTACCATATAACATATTACAATATAATTAAATATAATATAACACACATATATATATAATTATATATATATTTACACCTTATATATATACATGTGTACACAACTAGTTTAATACTGATTGAGTAAACAAGTGTATTGAGAATATCCGATATATAAATGCATTAAATAAATGCATAAACGTGTTTTCAGAGTGTTCGAAGTGTACGTACGCATTGATGCAGCCCACTGGTGTTTTCGATATTGCACATTCCTTTGGATGCACCGAAAAAATTAACATGGCAATCACGCGCCGTGGAAGAGCGAATAATTTCCTGCGTCCATTTGCCGCAAGAGCTTTGTCCAGCCATTGTCATGGACCCATTGTCCAGCACACATAGGAGAAAATCGTGTTTTCAGATTGGGAATGATTGGGACATTCCCAGTTTTACATGATATTTTTACCCTCTGGTTATTTAACATGGCCATGGAAAGTGACCCATTTATAGATGGTTTACCTCTTAAAAATGGTGGATCTTTCCATGGCTATGTTAGTCATAGCCAGATGGTAGCAGGAAAACACCCTGATGGGGATTTCCAGCTAGCCACGTTCCCTTCAAGGGTCCGAGCTTGAGCAGATGTGAAGAAATGGTAGCTCTCAAGATCTGTCAAACAAAGGGGATGCCGGACAAATATTAAATAATTTAAATTACTTTACTTCGTGTGATCCCCACCATGACATTCATACATTTTCTTACTGGCAAATCTTCTGGCATTCTATCTGACATATCTTCTGGCATTCTATCTGGCATATCTTCTGGCAGATGTTCTGGCATATCTTCTGGCATTCTATCTGGCATATCTTCTGGCATTCTATCTGACATATCTTCTGGCATTCTATCTGGCCTTCTGGCATTCTATCTGACATATCTTCTGGCATTCTATCTGACATTCCATCTGGCATATCTTCTGGCATTCTATCTGGCCGTTGAGGTCCGGCAGTGCCCACTGGGATTTGGAGCTCGCGGTTGAGGTCCGGCAGTGCCCACTGGGATCTGGAGCTCGCGGTTGAGGTCCGGTAGTGCCCACTGCGACCTGGAAGTCGCGGTTGATCTGCAACTCGCGGTTGGGGTCCGGCAGTGCCCACTGGGATCTGGAGCTCGCGGTGGAGGTCCGGCTGTGCCCACTGGGATCTGGAGCTCGCGGTTGAGGTCCGGTAGTGCCCACTGCGACCTGGAAGTCGCGGTTGAGGTCCGGAAGTGCCCACTGCGATCTCGCGGTTGGGGTCCGGTAGTGCCCACTGGGATCTGGAGCTCGCGGTGGAGGTCCGGCTGTGCCCACTGGGATCTGGACTGCGAGGAGGAGGCGGCGGGTAGGAGGCGAAGGAGGAGGAGGAGGAGAACAGCTCTGGTAAAATCTAACAATCCTCACCTGGCAGGTGGGGAAAAAACAATGCACATAGAAAACCATTCATAAAACACTTCCAAACCATGTTTTTTGCTGCCTATGTCTTTCAAATGTTGCCATTTTCCATGAACCGGAAGTGGATCGCAATTTTTATAGTGGCAAGATGCGGCAAGTGGAACACACCTTTTCGAACAGTCCGCACTCCCAAAGGGAGCGCATCTTTCACCCAGTAGGATTCGTTGAAACCAGGGGCGACGGCGGGCGCTCCATGGGGTACGCGGGCGCCAGCAAAATGTTGCGGATGCGGGGTGAGCACCTCTGGCACAGTTGGGTTTGGAACAGAAAATCCTTATAATTAAACAGATTTAAATTGTTACCAGCTGCGACATTTCCTGGAACGGTGAGAGGTGAGGTGGGCCGGATAGTGGTGATCAAAGATCTTTGGAGAATAGGTAGCAATGATGGACACAGCAGCACTCGGGGAAGACACTTGGGAACCGGATGCGGCACCCCAGTCATCAGCTAAGCATAGTTACAGTACCCTCCGGCAACGCAATGGAAAGTCTACCATACATGTGAGTTTCCCATTTTTCAGCCCTCATTTGTAGAATGATATTCCCATTAAAACCATTGAAAACCAGCATGTATACAATGATATGTAAGCAGATTTAAGCTACCTTTTGGCCTATGGAAAATCACCGTTTTCAACGGGTAAATCCACTATAAATCACCATTTTCAATAGCTATGTTGAATTACCAGAGGCTACAGTATTTTTCTCTCAAAACACAAACCCATGTTCACCAAGAGATCCCAATACCTCAAGGCGTCGACTCTGCCAAACTGGCTCGATTGGAGGAGGACAACGATGGTGGCACCGCCAGGATATAACTCAAAGAAATTTGGATAGCACTGATATAATATATAAAATACATTGGTATGCCTGATATTCTCATACATATGTAATTATATGTAATTATGTAATCATATAATATTTAATAGTATATATATATATATATATTCGCAATAGTTATATAGTTATATGTTCTATTCATATATGGTCTCACCTTCTTCCCCTGGACATCAGGCAATTGGAAGTGAATCAGCAGGGTATATCTTTCAAAAGATATGAGGGTGTCACTTGAAAAGATCACTGTTTCTGTTGGCGAAACTTCCGGTGTACCTCGGACATTAGTGTCGCCCCTTAGGAGCTACGCTGCGCGCGTTCCGAGTTGAAAGCTTTGCAGGTTTGGGGTCACCGGGAAGGATCCTTGGGTTTCTGCTAGAATTTCAAGCAGAACGGCCAGGGACTGCAACTTTTAAACGCCATGTTAGTATATTTTAGTATATCTTAGTACTAGCCGATGAAACACTTTATGAAGCATCCAATTGTTTGGGGGTACCCAGGTTACCCAGGTACCGAATTTTGTCCCCGGTTGAAGATGGAATCTGCTTTGGGCCCCCATGGGCACCAGGTGGAATGGTTGGCCAAGCGCCCTGAGGAGCGCCAAGAGTTACGGTGACGGTGCGGTAGACGCCACAGAAATGGATGTAGGGATGTAACTTGGAACTATCACACTCATGCAACTTACATACCTAATAATAATGTATTTAGTTTTATATATATATATATATTATTATTATCATTACTATTATTATAGTTATTATTATGTTATGTATATATATATATATATTCTTCCCAAAAACGAAGAGCGTGTCATGACTGAGTTTTCAAATGCCGTTTTTGTATGTGTTTAAAATGCGAACCCCCGGATGCCGATTGACTGTCCGATCTGGAGACAGAGTGAGAAGATGTGACAAGACTTGAATCAAATTGGGTAGCGTCAAACTTGGTATAAGTTGGATGGTTGGAAAAAAACATGTTCAAAAATATGGTCAATCCTAAGAACACCCGAAATATCATTACATCTCTGGCGTTTCTTCGCTAATCTTGAGCCATGCCCAGGATGGAAGTGAGAGGTGGGGCACCCTGTGGACCAGCTCCAGCAGTTTTTGGGTCTCCCAAAATGCCATAGAGATTTCATGGCCTTTCTAAAAATCATGGATTTACCCTCTGGTAAACTAACCTAACTATGGGAAAATCACCATTTATAGTGGATTTTCCCATTGAAAATGGTGATTTTCCATAGCTAGGTTAGTTTACCAGAGGGTATTTCAGGTGAATTATGTGAATTGGTCACATTTGCGAACAGTTGGTCACCTTTCTTCACCTCTTCAGGTTTCCAAGCGTGCGGGCTGTTCCAGAAGGTCGCCCTTCGGTGGGTAGCCACAAGAAGATGACCCAAAGACATTCAAAGCCACCATTTAGATGATGAGTATCATGAGGTTAAAAAAATGGAGGGGTATCTATACAGAGATGTTTTTTTTTTACTTAGGACAATCTCAAACATCTCTTGGACTGGGGGAATGTATACTTGATTATATAGCATGAATAGATAGCATGAAGATGAACTTGGGTTTGGGGTTGAAAACTGTTCTATGCGCAACTCATGTTTTTCTGTCAGGAATTTTCCTCTAGATGTTCAAAGGGATTTTGATCGACCATGTGGCCATGCCCATTTTCTATAATTTTCTGGGGTATAAGTTGATTTCATGGGAAAGATGCAAGACCATTTGGATCTTTTGGGCAATACCATGTCTTTTTGATTCTTTTTGTCTAATTTCATTTCTATTCATGTCTATCCGACAGAGGGTGCGATTAAAAGAGTCTCACGAAACCTTGACAACCACAATAGCGATGATGGTTGTGGTGATTAATAATGGATAGTAAATCTGAGAATCATGAAGTGATAGAATAAGATGAATTAGGATGACATGATATGATATCAAATATATTAATTAGATATAATATACATATATATATATATACATTTGTGTCTGCGATTGTGTGTGTGTGTGCAGATACTATACGTGTGGACACGTTGCCGGTTTCTGCGGGGAGGTTTGCCCCCGGATCCGGTCGAGCAGCACTCTGCGGAGAGGTGCGACTGGGGGGATGGGTTGGAACATTCCCAATGGATGTTTAAGGAACAATCTTCACCGGAAACCATGTTTTTTAGAGTATGTATATATATATGTGGGTTTCCTGTACATTTTCCCATCAATTGTGTGAAACAATGTGAAACATGTTGGAATTTGGAAGCACCAACCACAAAAAAAGCAGGGTTCAACCGGGCAGTCTAGCCCGGAGAGGTGGAGCATTTGAGGTGGATCCTTTGATCCTGCCATGGTTGCATTGGGCAGAGGTGTTGCCATCCGGATTTGTATATACCCTCTGGTTATGACTAACATAGCCATGGAAAATGACCATTTATAGCGGATTTTCCCATTGAAATATCATGGACATATCATGTTACCCTCTGGTTATGACTAACATAGCCATGGTATAGATGGCCCATTGAAATAGATGGTTTACCGTTCTTAATAGCATGGTGATTTTCCATGGTTGTGTTAGTCATAACCAGATGGTACAAAGTGTTCTTATACAGGATTATGTAGTACAGGAAATTTTGCGAGAATTTTTAGCCATACACATTTGGTGGTTTCCTGAAATAGGGGTACCCCTGTTCATCATCCATTCATAGATGGATGTTCCATTATAAACCAACCATTTTTGGATACCCCCATTGATATCAGAGCATGGGTTTCTCTTTAACAATATGTAAAGAATCGCAGAAAAAGGGTGGTGTGACAAGTCAAGACCAATCACCCATAACGGCTGGATGCCCAAGAGGATATCCATAATTAATATAAGTACAAATACATATTATAGACATACATATGCATATCATATACATGTATGTCTATGTGTGTACATGCATAAAAGTAAATACAGATTCATCAGATGTGGTCAGATGTGGTCAGAGAAATTTGGGGTTCCCAGCCTTCCACAGCTGCGACATGGGCAACGCGTTTTTTAACGTGTCTTGGGGGTGTTTTTCTATAAACAAACCAATTTCTGGAATCCAGTTCGCTTCCGAGCTTCCGACCGATGTTGGCGCCGCAATGGTGTGGGAGCTCCGCGGCGCTGCATCCGAGACAGCCGCGCGTGGTGCCGGAGGTTCGGAAGGCTGGGATGAATGCCACTGATTTTAATCCTTTCCCTTATGTAAATTTATATCCCCAAAAGATAACACAAAAATCCTGATTTAGTATTGGAATGTATTGGATATACTTGTTTTGAGAGAGGCATATAGGGGGTATTTAATATCAGAGCGAAAGGATGAATGAATGATAGAAGTTCGAACCCGCGATAGACTGATAGATTCAATTGGTCAGATGTCAAATATCAACACCATCAGCATGTGCTTCATCATCAAAAAAATCCTGCAACACCAAATCATCAGTTGCAACGGTTGTGCAACCCTAATGGTTTCTCCCACCACGAAGGGCCCCCCCAGATAGCTAAGTTAGTTTATAGCCAGCTTATATAATGTAATTTTATGATATACCTATACTTGGAATATCTTGGAATTATACTTAGATGGCCTTATAAACCAACATAAACCAACATAAAACCAACATAAAACAAACTCACAACTGTGACGGCCCTTCCTGAAACCATCACCCCCGTTATGGCTGTCAGGTCCCACGCCCCGTGCGTGCCCCGCCCGTGGCGGTTTCCGCTGCGCTGGCGGCTTCGGCTGCGGCCGCGCGGCGCGGGCGTTGGGCGCGGAGGGCGGCGGAGAGCCCATTTGACGCTGGAGCTATGTGCCTGGTGGGGTTGGGGGTATGAGATCAACCTTTTGGATGGGATAATGAGATGTTAATAATGGGATATATATATAATATACACGTATATATATATATACTGTATATGTTAATTTGATATTGTTTAAATTTTTTTTATACGATATGTATTTAGAATGACACACGCAAACACTGGTTCTTTTTTGAATCTATATAGCTATAATTACTAGGTTGGGGCTTGTCTGAAAACTATCAGAAAGTCTCTTAATTGGGCTTAGACACCTCATTTTTCCTACACAAGTCCCCATTTGGGAGTGTACACCATTTTCAGACATTTTCATGGTAAGATTAGGCACACACACACACACATATATATATATATATACTTTAGGATTGGTTCGAAAAGTTTTTAAAATTTCGCATCCATGGGTGATGGTTTATGGTTGATTATCAACCATTCAATGGGAGCGGGAAGGGCTCAAGGCTGTAAGATCCTGGGACCGAGATGAGTGGAGATGGGTGGGAATATCCGATATATCCGTTTGCACGTGCTTCACAGCCAAGATCTTCTTGCATATTTCGCATATTTTCGCATCATCCTGGAGATTCTTGAAGGTTTATCGGAAGTTTATCGCATCTGAAGGTTGCTTCCGTGCGCAAATCACCGAGATCAGATCACCCCATCCTCACATCTCAAGGTCCAAAGGGGGCTCGGAAACAACATAAATCCCTCGGCTCAGGAAATCAAAGAAGTGCCTTCCAAGGGTTTGGGGGCTGCTCCTTGTTGGAAAGCTGGGGTGGGCTCAAGAGTTGGAGTATAATTTAACCCCTAAAAACTCCAGTGTGTTATCATAATTTTCCAGCAAAAAAAACTGCAATTTCGGGGGCATGGTGTAGCCTGAATATCCTGGGAACCAAAGTTTGGGATGTTAACTTCATCCAGAAGTTGTCATTTTTCAATGCCGCTTAAATAGCCGAGAAAAATAGATCTCCACGAGGACGATCATAGCCTAGAATTGCCCAAACATCGAAACTCTCAAAAGAACCTGGCCTAAACTTAACCCGCAATTTTGAATCCCAGACTTGGTTTCAACCATTCACCAGAAGATCCTTTCCAAATTTATTTCCAAATTTTGGCATCTCAAAGACATCAAAAATCCCGACCCAACAGTCCCACCTAAGTTTGATACGATTTCCTGATATCCCCACAGCTTTGGGCTCAACTCCCCTCTCAATCGCCATGCCGCGCCCGCGTTGCCTTCCCTTGGCCCTGCTGGCTGCCCTGCTGCTGGGCCTCGCGCGCAGCCCCAGCTTCGCCCTGCCGGGCGCACGGCGGCAGCTGTTGGCTGCGGCCGTGGCGCCACTGGTGGCGGGGGCAGCAGCCAGGGCGGAAGAGGAGATCCCCTTGGGATCAATCCCAAAGGACGGGGATCATAGGGGACCTGGGAATCTGGCTATGGGAAAATGGATGGAAAACGGTCCGTTGAGATAGTTCGATGATTTACCTCAAAAGAAGTACTGGTTTTAAATTTTGAGAGGATTTATTGTTTCCTACTCCAATGATGTTTTTTTAATTCTGTTTTCTGGGAAGTGCTTGGATGTTTTGAGGGGATCTGTCCAACAATATTGGTAGTGATTGTGAGATATTATGGGTGATCCTTGCTGTTGGTGAATTTTGACATGATGGCCTACCAGGGGTTAGTCCACCAGGAGTGTCTGAACCTAAGATCTACTTGGAATATCTTGGAATCAACTCTGCATTTTTCCTCCAAAAATCCATGTCTTAGAGCTGGGCCAAGCTGGGGCCCTATTTCCAGCAGAGGACTTGCAGGCCAAAGAAGTGGGTCAACAGGTCACCACTCCACATGGCGTTGTCTACGAGCCCTTGGAGCTCGGGACCGAGGAGCAAGGACCCAGGAACGGCCCGCCGCGGGGCGGCTCCACGGTGATCTTGAAGTACACCGCCAGGTTAGACGGCTGGAATGGACCCATTTTTGATAGCTCAACATTGAGGGGTCAGCGCAAGCCCAACAAGGTGGATTTCATTGAGAGCCGATTGAACGTCGACCCATCTTTGCCCAATTGTGTCTGGCCTGAATATAACTCATCTTTTGAACGCGGTTTTTTTCCGGTCTATTTTGACGTTATTTACTGCACATGTTGCCATGTAGTCATATGCAACTCAAGTTTGGTGGTCCCAACGTAGGTACCCCAGACTTGCCTCTAAAGGGGGAACACGATTTTCGAAAACCAGTAAAAAATGGAGTTCCTCCGTCTTTCCAGGCAATCCTGGATTTGCTTGGTTTCAATTTGACTACACATGATTGTTATTTGATCTTGTTTTAGCACATAAATTGTGGTGAACTTTAATTTACTACACGTGTTTCTTTTGGCTCGGAAATCCTACAAAGCTTATTGTTACTTATGGAAGCATCAGGGTTTTGATGGTATAGGGTTAGAACTCCAAACAATAACAAACTTCTACTCATTCAGGTATGGGCCGGGTCAAAATTAAAGACTTGGGGGGGACAGATTTATATAAGTCCAGGTTTAGCATGAACATATGGAGGTTTAAACCATCCAGCTATTGGGATACCCCCCATTAATGGAAACCCCCATATGTGTGTTTATGTATATTATATATATATATGTAATATACATATATATATATATATCCCATCATTCACATCTCACCAATTGGTTGATTTACCATCCAATTCGACTTGAGCCGAGGTATTTTTGAAGCGGTGAAGCTCATGAAGGTGGGTGCTAAGGGTCGCGCCACGTGTCCTCCAAAGGTCAGCTACAGCGAGGGCAAGGCCGGGGGTGCGGAAGGGGGGGTACCTCGGTTATTGGGATTTTAGATATTTATATATAACTTTATGGGAAAATTGTGATTTTTATGAATTTTATGGGGATTTTAGTTGAGAGTCTAAAGATTTTTGCTGAAATCACCCATGTCCATCATGGACATGAAGATGGACATGAAGATTGTGAAAGGGCCTGGCCTACAGCCAAACAGCGATCAAAATTGAATAAGGCATGGATTGGGATTGGCGCTGTCAAACAATCTCCAGGAATGACAAGGATAGATTTGAATTGAATGGGGGTGGTTTGGGTGGTTTGGGTGCTTTGAGTAGGCACATGGCAGTACAGTAGCATGAGGAGGAAGGGGCTGATAGGCGCATGGCGTATCCCCGATCTTCTTGTTCAACCATGATCTTGTGTCATCAAAAGATCGCGAAGAATCATCATGGGGAGTTTTGTAAATCTCAATAAGATATCATCAAGGAGGATCATCAAATATCAGTATAAACATCCTGATGGTTAGCCACCATCCACTCCATCATTTCACCAATCAGTGGCCACAAGCCACCCCCAACCCCCACCTTCCCCAGGTGGCTTTCGATGCAGATGAACAAGGCGAGGTCCAGAAGGTCCCTGCTGGCGCCACGCTGTACTATGACTTGGAACTCGTCCGCATTATCAAGCCGTGAGGGGAACCGTTGCGCCATCCGTTGCGCCGCTGTTGCCGAAGCGGCGATTTTCTGGGTGCCCGTTTGAGACTTGGCGAGGTCGAAACAACTTGGATCATGTCAGGAGAGAAACACCTTGATGAAAGCAGATATGAACATATGTACTGTATATAGATATATATATATATAGCTGGGGCAGGCAAAGTCACGTTTTTGCTTGATGTTTGATGATTTCTGCGTTGCCACCAGTGGGTTTGGGGCGTGTCCCCCATTTTTGGAGCGACCCAAAAAAGGACACCAACGCCAAGCTCGCCTCTTGCGACACCCGGCGGATGTAGAAATCGAACATCAACGATGTTCACCCAGCACCATCTATCTTAAGATAAAAAGGTTTGTGCCAGAGATGGGAGGCTGCGGATGATTGTACAAAAACAAATGATGGACATAGTTTCGTCATCTGAAGTTATAAAGTCTTTACCACCCTATTGTTGATTGGGGCTTAGTTTTACTTTGACTGTATGAAAACTATCTGAAACCATCTTGAACTATTCTTGAACTTAAAAATTGCACATGGTGCGATCAGATGGGAAGTTCTATGCAGTCCCTAAACGATCCTTTGCATGGCAAGGGCTTGACAAATCCCATATGCGCAGATGTCGGGAATATACAAGGAGGGGCCACAAGTACGACACTGGCTCATGCTGCCGAATCAGGCCCTTTTTCTGTCCCCCACGAGTGTCTGCGGTGGGCCACAAACCTGAGCTGCAGAAATGGAAGCAACAAGGCGGAGAGATATATGCAGAAAGCACCGGCAGAAACAAAGGCAATGAAATGCAATCAGAGGCAGAGGGAAAGAAGTCATACCATCATCCTCCCCCATGCCCCTCTAAATCAATGTTGTTTTTCGCAAAGTGGAGACTTGCTGGCATCCAAATATAGTACAGCGTCACTGCCGCGGATCCAGGTCCAATGAAACAATCAACTTTGATTTCGGGGCGAGGGGTTTTTTAATGGGGCTGGGTACTTTCTATGTTGTCGGGAGAAACATGCAAAACGGATGGACCAGTGACAGCGGCTCCTTTAACATTTAATTAGGTGCAGTCAGCACACAGCTAGACACTCGGGAATCCTGCAGCAAGAAATTTTGCTACATTTTTCCCTCCAGAGAGTATGAACATGGTGAAGCAACATGGACACGCCGGGATGTCCTTCAAATTTTCGATTCTATGCTGGAAACGGTAAATGGTCAGTCTGGACCGGAGCATCAGCAACTCACTCTCGGACCAGCACCCTTTCGGCACAAACAACGATTGCCAGTTACATGTGAGAAAAGTGGGTTGTGTCGGTCGAAAATCCAAATGGCCACTGTACAAGTTCAATGGCCGATTGATGCGTAGCGTCGCACTTTCCAACCATAATAAGGTACTGCTGACATCCAAGGCTCCATGGTCAGGTCTCCAATCATCTAAAATGACCACTTGGGACTGCGGCAAATCTAAGAGAGGATACGACCCTCGAGCTGGACAGGCGAACACCTCGGCTGCTCTGAGGAGGGCACATCAACGTCTGGCCGTCCAAAAAGGAGAGGCCACAAACAAGGAAATAAGGTCTACCATGTTAAGAATGCATGGCAAGAGTTGGGTATTGTTGGTCCCCATAGTTACAGGTTGATAGATCTCGATGGTACCAAGGCGTGAAAATCCCGTTACAAGAATCAATTCCCAGTTACTGGACTCGTCTCGGGCATAAACAAATATGTGCATAGTACTTGAGTCCCCCCGGGGGGCAGAAACTTGTCCGCAAGTGGATCTTTTTAAAAAATATGATCATTGGGAAACGGTGAGGGTCAGAAACCATGTGATGTGAAAGTGGTAGCCAAGGCACGCGCTGGAAAATTTCACGCAATGGCTTCAAAATGAAGCTTTTGCCCTCGTTTCCGGAACCTGTGAAGCATACTGCATCTCCCTTCTTCTGCATGCCCAGCATGAGGGCCTGACGCAAATGTTGGCAAAGCTTCCCCTCCTCAATGTTATTGTTGCGGAGAATCTCGCGAGCTGCTGGTGCCCAAGTTCTGTCACAACAACACTGTCGCCCCAAGGCGGCAGTGACACGCTTCCACGTAGTTGTCTGAGAATCTGCGATGACGCGATCACATGATTCTAGTGTGCAGCACATGGCGACCTTCTCTCTGATGGTGTTGTTTGTGCGGAAGAGGTAGTTCAGCAAGCTTTCATTTCCGGAATTTCGCCCATGCTGAAGGAGTTTAGCAAGCAGGACAGGGTCATCGGCAGTGAGCCCAA